AAGGCTGAAGGGTCCGGAAGCAAAAGGGAACAAGGAGCAGGGTTGGCCACACAGTGGCCAGCAATGACCGAGGGTCAAAACAAACAATAACAGATAAATAAACGAAGGGGTGTAGGGCTGCAATAGCGGTGATGGCAATGTGTCAGGGTTCAGCACCCTGCCTTAGGGTGCCCCGGACTCCCCACCTACTTTACCCCCTTTTATTCTTTGACTGTTGCCTTGTTGTTGCCTTTGTGTGTTGTGTACACGCGCGCACGGGATAGTGTGGGAACTTTCTGAGCGAGCAGCTCACTCAGAACGTTCCCACGGGTCACAGCCACAATTCTGGGTGAGCAACTCGCCCAGAACGTTCCCACGCTTACTGGGCACTGCCACCTGGATGTTCCCTCCAGGTCACACTACACAACTCTAGGAGCTGTATAGTTGTGGGCATGTGACCCATTCCTTTATATAGCAACCATGCGGGGAGATGAGACCTTTACCCTTCTTCTCATCTCATGCCCCGCATGGCAAGTGTATATACTCTCTTCCTTTTTACTATACATCTCATGCCCCGCATAGTGTGAGGACAGGTCAGATGGGGGTTGAGGTCAGGGAGCCTCCGAGTCCGAGGCCGGGCCCTGACACAATGGTATCAGCGCTGGACTCAGAGTTGGGCTGGAGTCGGGCACAGGAATGGTAGTGGCCCTGTAGGGGCCAAGTGAGTGGGGTAGAGGAGTCACACTGGGTGTGGTGCTGGAGGCAGACTCGGGGCAGGGAGGCTGGTGTGGCAGTGGGGGAGTTGGCCAAATGTAGGGGAGCCTAGGGGCAAGCAGGGAGGGTGAGCAAGGAGGATAGGAGTGAGGTCAGGGCTCATGCTTGCACTTGCACAGTGGGAACGGGCTCAGGCGGCATCAGGATGGGTGGCTAACAGGCCAGAATGCATGGCTGTGACAGAAGTGTCAGAGTCCGTGTGTCAGTTCACACATAAGAATCTCCCTGGGAAACTAGTCATTGTTAAAGCTGGGGAGCCAACCCAGCTGGCGATAAGGCCTTATATACATGAGTTCCACAACTCATAAGAGCACAGCTACATTGGGAATACATGGTAGCTGATAGAGAAGTGACATGAGATAGGAGAATAGATCATGCGGATAAGGGGGCGATTGTCATATCCGTGCATACCCGATCCCGACCCAACTCCCGGACCTCCTCCTTCACCACCTCCAGAGTCCTGCCCTACCGCTGTCCATTCTGATATTCACCTTCGGTCCTGGCACCACACCTCCTCTCACCTCCCATGCCACCTCCACTCCTCCATCCCTCTCCTGTCCTATCTCTGTCCACTCCGATACCCACCTCAGACCGAACACCACTCCTCTCACCACCCTCCTCCTACTCCTCCTCCCACTCCTCCACTCCCTCCTCACAACACCTCCACCCTTCCGTCATCCTCCTACTCTTCTCCCGTCTGCTCCGATACTCACCTTCAGACCTGACAACTCTCCTTTCCACCACTCTTCCCTCTTTCCTCCCTCTTCCCTCTGTTCCTCTTCCGCTGACCTCCCGCCAAGTTATGACCTTCCACCGCTGTCCCATACTTTGTACTCAGACACCGCTTGAACCTTTGCTCTGAGCCTCCGTCATAGCTCCTACCTCGGACTTTGACTCCACCTTGGCCTTAGTCCATTGCATTGGTGACCTCATACTACATAAACACCATTGCCAATATTCCTCGGACTTTCAACCCCACCTCTGTAACCTCTGTAAGCTCCACAACCTCCGAGCTCCATGGATCATCTTCGGCACTTTTGCCGCTTGTAATGTATCTCTTGTGTTTTCCCCTCATCCCTATTTGGACTGCTGCTTCATCAGCAAAAAAATGTTATGCTCCTGAGTGCTCCGGAGTATTGAGAGCACTGGGAGAATCAGGAGGAGATTGGCTGGTCCAGGAACAGCCCATTTCCTCCGGAGTTGGCTAGGTACTCCAGGGCACTCCCAGGAGGGCCTGGAGCATTGCTTTGTGCACAAACATATCCAGTAAATACAATTTAAATGCTTCAAAGTGTATAGGGGTGAGAAGCTTCTGGGAGCTCCTGGAGCATTTGAAAATGAAAAGGAAAAAAAAAAGGGGAAGATCCCCCATGAATACCTCCTACCACAAGACTAACACAACAAGACACTGCTTAACATTTAGATCAAACACTATACTATATATCAAGGACACTGAGACTCACCAATATACAATCAAAATTTATGGCCTGATATATGATTAATCTGGCAACTTAATCACTTTCGGGCTGGCAGAATATGGGGGAGAATGAGGGGGGGAGAATGAGGGGGGGAATGAGGGGGGGATATAGAGGGAAATGAGGAAAATTTGAAAAATAGGGACTTCTAAAAAGTTGAAAAAAATAATTAGGGAAAAATCAAAAAAATTCAGGAACTGTAGTGCCTTTGAAGTGCTTTCAGGATATATAATTATTTGCAAAATCGAGGAAGAAATGATGGAGAAAAATGGAAAATACTTTTGGAGACCCGAGAAATAATGAGAACTGAATTGATGGGAAAGTCTGAAAATTGAATAGGGAAGTGAGGGGAAGCCTTGTAGCATTGTTATTTTCTGCTGTTCTAATTTTTCCTGATTGTTCTTGGTCTCACTCCCAGCTGCTACTGGATACTCCTGGATACTCCTGGAAGCTCCTGGGAGGGTCCAGGAGCAGCTAATGGAAAATACTTTTGGAGACCCGAGAAATAATGAGAACTGAATTGATGGGAAAGTCTGAAAATTGAATAGGAAAGTGAGGGGAAGCCTTGTAAGCATTGTTATTTTCTGCTGTTCTGATTTTTCCTGATTCTTCTTGGTCTCATTCCCAGCTGCTCCTCAATACTCCAGGAAGCTCCTGAAAGCTCCTGGGAGGGTCCAGGAGCAGCTGGGAGTGAGACCAAGAACAATCAGGAAAAATCAGAACAGCAGAAAATAACAATGCTTACAAGGCTTCCCCTCACTTTCCTATTCAATTTTCAGACTTTCCCATCAATTCAGTTCTCATTATTTCTCGGGTCTCCGAAAGTATTTTCCATTTTTCTCCATCATTTCTTCCTCAATTTTGCAAATAATTATATGTCCTGAAAGCACTTTAAAGGCACTATAGTTCCTGAATTTTTTTTTGATTTTTCCCTAAATTTTTTTTTTCAACTTTTTAGAGACCAAAATTTTCCTCCCACTGCTCCTGGCACATTACATACTCCTCACCACTCCCAGCTGCTCCTGAACCCCCTCCCAGGAGAACACTATTGGCTCCAGGAGTGCCCAATCTGCTGTTTTGTCTCCCACATGCTCCAGCCACTCTTGATGCTCCGGAGCATAACGGACTTTTGCTGATGTTCTTCCCATTCTAGCCAGTTAGTCATCATCCCCACTTCCCCTCATCCTCCTGCCCCTCTGGGCCTTGCCCTCCTTACCTCCTTTTGGACATACCACAGGTTCTGCCTTATGACCTTCAGTACCACTCCGCTTCTGTCATCCCTTTGTTCCTGTTCAGACGCCTTCGTTCCGATTCGGATCCCCTTTGTTTCCTTGTGCTTTCACCCTCTCCATTATATATATCGGTGCTTGTACATACTCGTTTTAGTCCTTAGTCTAAAATCGACCTGAAATGCCCCCTAGAGACTTCCTGCTCGCCTACTGTGAAATTAAGGACCAAATGGACAAACAGCAATGGCACAGTGCTCCGCTTGAGTCGCTGAGGCCAAGGTCCCTCCTTGCTAAGTCTCCGGTTCCCCTCCAGAATCGTCCGCCCTTGCCCAGTTCTAACAGCGATAACAGGTAAGGGGTGATGCGATAGCGGAAATAGCACATTGAATACAACCTGCATTCTAACTACAGCAAATCACATGCAGATATTGGCTTACAGGTACTCAACCTATCTGGATAGGGGTCCAGGCCGGCCGGATAACCATCCATGCCCTGACAAGAAGGCACATGTGTGGGGGAGAAAGTACAGATGAGGGTGATGGATGGATGGGTGGATGGTCAGATAATGATAGTAGCAGGTGGGTGGGCCGGTGGTGCTGGGGCATGTTGATGGATGTTATGGATATTGCTGGGTCATGACAGCACCTCCACATTAGGCTGGATGATGAATATCTATTACCTATACCTCCCTATTCGGTTGGAGGACAAATGCTTATTACATCAAATTCACGTGATATTTTTATTTTGCTTTTGGTTATTTAAATGTACCATCCCTGAGCAGCATGGGACAAATCTGACTCCTATTCAGAAGGGCCAGTCAGGTCCCAGACTATCACATTCCCAACACAATAATATTGAATGAATAGGGTGGGCCATGAGTGTGCAGCCTATCTCCCTTACAGGCTTTCACCCTCCCTTATGAGAATCCTGTTGGGATGGTCTAATGCATGCATGCCTGCCTTTCAAGCCAAAGCTGAGTGAGGATATGGGTGGGCCGACTGAGGATTTGAGTTCAAGGTCCACTAAGCTGAGTGAGGATTTGGATGGGCGGAGGATTTGGATTGGGTCAATTATAGGGGTTTGGACAGCAGATTGGATTGGGGTGAGAGTTTGGATTTGGTGGAGAGTTGGGCTGAGAATGGGTTGGGTTGGGTTGGAGTGAATTAGGTCAGGCTGGCAAAGTGCCCCCCCAGCACTATCACCCCAGACAACAGGAAGATTGGGAATGGCAGGCACAGAGGAAGGTTGCACCACCCCCAGACCCCCTTGTTTGCCACTGGGACCAATTCCAGAACCTACACCTCCTTGTGATGCCGACCCCAAGGAAGCATCCAAAAATATCTCAGAGAGGTTCAAAATACCTACAATGGTACTGATCAATGAATGCAAGCTTGGAAAATAACTAACCAAACCATGTGGGTTCCGTTGTCTCTTTGAGGTTGTCCACTCCTTGATTTTCTGTTGAGCTTCAGCCAATTTCACTTCCTATTCAAGAATAAGTCACATGGCGACGTGTGTGGGTATGACCCACATTGGACCATGCAGATCTGCTGATTCCATGACGCAGACATTCAAGTCATAATCTTACACACTCGGAGCAAGGATCTGTGAATCCAGCACATCTCTTTCACGTAAAATTAGTAATAGCAATTCAAATGTGAAGGTGTTGCTCACTTTTTTGCGAAGTCTACATGCGAGGCACACCGAGTGTTTGGTGGAGTGGCGGAACTCCCTTGAGGTATCTGCCTGGGATTGAACATATGAATGTGTGGGATTGTCGTTATTACGAGGAGCGGGTGTAGGGATAGGTAGAGAAAGATGTTGAGACCAGGCCCTTATGATGTCTATAATTCTTGGTCGTTGATCCTGAGGGAGGAAACACCCAATGATCGCCCCTTCGAAAGGGTCTACATCATTCAAATGGTAGGGAATGATGGGGCTGGCTACTGAATTTGTCATCACTTGCATATCACTTAGCCCAGCATAGGGTAGCTGGCCGGTAAGTATCTAAGTAGGTACTTGGCATAACACTTCATCAGCACAGCAACAAATCATACCTCACCGGAAATGCATCCGAATGCCCATATGTCGCTCGATTCTGTGGGTATTGGTGTGTGGCGATTCAGGAACTCTGGGGGCGTGAATTGGAGTTGTAAGCCGCCACGATAGCCGTATAGAGACTCCTCGGACCGATGATCGTACGAGAAGTCGAAGCCACGCAAATATGAATCCCCTTCGTTACCAGTCATAACGTTGTCCTGTTGGACTGATATGTTTCGAAATTTTTGGAAAAAATAGTATCAGACGGACTGGGTGAATATTTGCATGTACGACCCCCTCCGAGTGCAAATAAAGAAGGCTTTGTGCAACGCCGCGCACCTGTGGGAATGTGTCAGATAGTTTCCAAGTTAAAAGATGAGATTTCACCAATTCACACCGATCTGCACTTGGGTTCTGCTGCAGATAACGCCTCACAGTCACGCTCTCTCGCCAGCTTGAGATGAAGCCAACACGAAGTTTGTGTCCTTCCACGTTCAAAGCCCACCCACGAAAAGCCTCTATATTTCGATGGACAAGTCGACCCCATATTCGTATGTGCCTTTTGATATTAAGGATCTTTATGCGCCCACGAAAATTAGAAATTCGAGATATAGACGCCACCGACGCACCTGCCCATCGAGAATCTCATTTCCATCTGACGCTGAAATGCCATTGGAGTATCGGACACAAACGCCCTCCTATTAGAAATGACGTGATCTGTCAGGCGCGAATGAGCCTAAAGATAGCACACATGCACACCCCATCACAAATCCCTCTAGTTCGTACACCAGAGCCGTCTTCAAACATATCTTCAATAATTTGGATTCTACCCGTGAGATTGTGTTCTTCCACTTCGAGAAGCTGGCGCCGGATTTCTGAAAGGGCAATGACCAATCTGCCGAATTTCAGTTCCACCTTACATAATAAACAAAGGAAACAACTTACCCTAATCTTTCGACAACGTCACAAGCGGAGGCACGCAGAGAAGCGCCACGTTCGAGGCAGCTCTGAAGTGTTTCATGGCAAGGATCCGAAGAATCCCACGCACTGTAGGGGGCCACATGTCTCGCGACCGCGAATGGAATGTGGAAGTCGTTGCGGATACTCTCGTAGGGACGTCTGCCGAAGAGCATCTGGAAACGGTGAGATCCCAATTGGTACACAAGAGGCATTAAATACCTGTGAGGATGTGCATCCAAGGGACCAGATGTCACCCTTTTGGTCGCACGGGACTCCACGTCCGGCCAGGACTTCTGGGGCGACATATCTTGAAGGCACGGAGCACGCACCCTCCACTATGAGGCGGACAGGGATGGCATCTGTCATGGCGTACGAGGACCCAAAGCCACTGATCCGAGGAATGGGATGCTTGTCATTGGCGCTGCAATCGATACGTACATTACTCTAGGGGGTTGATGAACGAGTGGTTCTCGATTAGCAGGTCAAGGTATACGAACCGGATTGAGGTTTCCGTGAACGATGTCCTTAGAATGAAGATATGAAAGCCCTCGAGATACTCCAAGAATCTGATGAAGTACTTAAGGTAAACACGGACACTCTGGAGAAGGCGCACCTCTTAAGACGTACCAGTTTTTGGCGGTCCGCGTTCACGTTGGCGCTGAGATAATCCATAACTCTCCCTCCCTTACAACTAGCATACGTGGCCCTCGCGCGAAGCCAAGTTTCATCCTCAAGCATCATCGTCCATCCCTGGAATCGAGCAATGTTTATATGATCCAAAGAGCAAATGACATTTAATTGGCGCTCCACGCGCTGTGACAAGAGTTATCCTCATGCTGATGTCGGCGAACAAATCGCAAACCTGAACAAAATGCTCTGCCGCCTCTGCATCGTCCCGCCCCACCGCCTGCTCCACCACCTCCTGCGAGAGTTCAACCTCGTGTATGACTTCTACGAGAGTGCCGCTCTCGCCAACCACTCCGCCCTAGACAAATGAGGTAAACCTAGCTGAGTTAACTGCGTTGTGCTTACTCTACCGCGTAGGACTAAGTTAGGGGCGATAACCCGCCCGTCCCTGATATCAAACACGATCCTTCCGTCCAGATTATGTGAATCACTAACAACAAGGCTGCTCGAAGGGGACAATGCTGGCGTCTGATCTGCCATCTTGGTCGGTATATGGTGTGTACGGTGCAGAGATGCGGAGAAGTGGAGTGCGGGCCCAGGGAGCACGGAGCAGCCTTATGTGAGATATACGCACATTCGCTGTATACAGTGGTTCAGGAAGGTCCCACTATCAGATAGATCCAGAGGCAAGGCATACTACATATCTAGATAAGCAGTCTTTCATATCGCGAACTGGATCCACTTCCATTTGTGACTGTGTCCCAAAATTTGCACCCGATCTTCAGTAATCCTTATCTCCTTATCGGCAATGTACTCCCAGCCAGGACCTGAAAATTCGTCTTCAATAATATGTCAGTTGCAAGAGGTCCTCTAGAAAGGGAGCCGGGGGTCCTTTCCTTCCGCAGGATCCATCTTCTCGGAACCGTTTCAACTGAACTCTCCACTTTTACTATCAATTGTCCCCATTCCCGTTGACCTGGAAGTCAATTCCCGCAATCGGTAGTCTGCTTTTATTTACCATGCATTACCAAATAAGGGGTGCTTGAGTGCCCTGTAGCAGACTGGCTTTTTCCAGGCTAGTCAGCCAATTAACCCACCCTATCAAGGGGCGTTTTTTATGCTTCAAATAGGGCCTAAACGGCCTATTTCAATGTGGACGTCCTGGGCTTGCTGCCAAAAATGGACTGTGGGAAAATCTGAGGATGTCCTGATAACTATGTGCCCCGTGATGTTGTACATACGGCTATTTACATAAATAGTAGACAGGAAAATGGAAAAGATAAAGGGAATTAGGGCCAAGGTGGGGGAATGGCCAATGTTTCTCAATGATTTCGAGCATTATACTCTGCCATGGTGCTTTCAAGGGGATTTTTAATGCTTATAAAGATTTTGGAGATTTTACAGGCCATTGTAGATAACCATATCCGGTATGCACCTACTATGGGTAGCTTGCGAGGCTGGCATCTCTGTTAAATCTTCACCGATTTGGAAAATCCATTGCTTACAAGTACATACAAGCTCTGGCTAACATTCTGTAAGGAAATGTATAACCTTATAGCTTGGTATCAGAATGAAGAACACACATGTTATGTCGCATGTAAGCATATATATTACCACATTCAAGTTCTAATGTGTGTTGTCATGAATATTCACCGAACATGGATTGCGTGGGAAAAGGGAAAAAGTCGACATTCAGAGTCTCTCAGGAGCCTTAAAAATATGGAAAAATATCCTGAGCGCCCGTGGAGAATATTCTTCCTATAGTACCAAGTTTGAGAGAAATCAATGGCATTTTTGTCAATATATTTGCAAGTTATGCCGATTGATGGCAACACAATGAATAAAGTTGACGATCTCCACAACGGCTGAACCAAATTTCTCCGCTACAGACTAGTTCGACTCATTTTGATAACAGCTTTCTAATGATACAAAATATGTGTGAATCGACGAAGAAATGGGGGAGAAATGGGGGAAATACTGCTGGAGCAGCCTGATATGAAAGAAGGTCGACACGAAACCAAACCGTCCCTTTCCCGTGCCTTCTTTTGAGCCACAATAATTTCTCCTCTCCTTCAGCTTTCCAACAAGCTCAATTTTATTCAAATTGGCTCTGTGGTTCTTGAGGTACCACCATTAACAGGTGCTGTCAAGTCCACATGAGATTCAGCATGGTGTTGAATCAGAATCTCTACTAATATTTGTCCATTCGGCACAAAAATTGGCATGGTAGGAGAACTAATCGTGCTCTATCGATCGAGCATAAGAACGTTGGGTATAAATGCGTAGTTGTGGAGACCGTTGAGTAAGAAGTTGAAAGTTATGCTGTGCATGAGAATCCTGCTTAGGAACTGAAAATGGTTTCAGAAAAATAGAAAAAAAATTGGAAAGAGCGAGTAATGTGGGTCGTAAATGGATGTGCAAATGGCGGCAAGACTGGGCCTGTGTGCTGTGTGGCTACAGTGTAAAATCCATAAAAATAGTTATTTTGTGGTGTATGAACCTTTCCCTGTAGAAACAAACAGAAATAATATGCTATGGTAGCTTCAAGAACATTCCAATTGGGTTTAAGAAATGGAAAACACTAATAAAAGAAATTGAAAAAGACAGAACAATAAGAAAGTGGCCTGGAAACCCAAACTTGTGTTGGAAGCCTCAACTGCTCCCCATAACCATAACTGTTCTAACTTACACCATTCAACTATACTAAACCTTAGCTTTACAACGCAGTTGGTCTCATTCCAAATGGTGGAGAAATGAGCAAGATAGTATGGGAGGAGCGGGGAATACATTGTGCATTTCCCCTATCTCACTGAATAGTAGTCCAAATGTCCTGAAAGTTCGTGCACTACAATACATGTCCTCAAAGTAAACTTGACATATTTTTTCGTATTTTTTTGACATCTGAGAGGCACTGAACTTTGACCTTGCATGTCATTTCCCACGCATGCCACTCCCATGCGGTGTTGAGTGAACCGAGAATCACACATTTCTCCATCAGTTCTGAACCATTTGCCATTGGGTTTTTTGCGATAAATCTCTCTTAATCGCCTCTTTATTTCGTATTATTACTCCAACTCATGATTCTGCATGCACACAGCTCCAGAAGTGGATTGTGAATCAAGGACATCCTTACTTGAACATTTGAATTGAAAGTGAATTCTCAGGATGTCTCAGGACGTCCTAGGATGTTCCCATACAAAAGAGGCCTCTAGACCCTCTTCAAACGTCCTGAGAACCCCCCTCTATAGGTCTAGATATCGGTTGTCCAAGGTGGCTTTTTCTGTCCTGCTGGGTCACTCTACCCTCACCTTGCTCAGCCAGGGGTGAGGCCCTATAGGGTACCGATTTTGCATTGCTAACCCCACCCAAGAGACTCTTTGTATTGGGGGCCCCCTTATTGGTTTGGGGCCTCCTGCAATTGAAATTATGTATTGCAGCAGCATCATCCAAACTATTGTCTAATTGGTCTGGATCAGTGGTGTAGTGGACCCAGCCTGCAGTGGGCCAGCAGCAAATGTGATTGCACAGGATAGACACAGTGGCCCATAGTTACAAGCTACAATCAATGTTGAACCAACCCAGCACAAACACTTATCACTGAGCGCTAAATGCAAACTGTTGGAATACAAGTCACATGATTAGATTGAACCGGAATATCCGAGAATATTCTACAGGTTACTAGCGCCTGTGTAAGTGCTGAGCATAGAAGAGCCTGGAATGTTATTCAGGAGTATAAATATGAGTGCTTTAGCACCATATGTTCTTTAGTTAGTTACAGTTTCTCTTCTCATTTCTATATTACATCTGGGTTGCGAGTGAACTGCTGAAGTGGGTTGCCATATATGGAACGCCATGTTTACAACACAAACAAAAGAAAAACAGTCAAAACAAGATACAAGGGCAGTCAATGGTACAGCAGGAGGTGATGGGGATGGGGGTGGGATGTGTGAAAAGTGAGGAAATGCATGGTAATTGATCTATAAGTGCTAGCTCAGTCTCAAGCTATATGCACGAGAACTGAGGAAAAAGGAAATAATACAATGAATGAATGTATCAGTGGCCTGGCACGGATAAGTCCGAAATAATAGAAAAGGGAAGTCTTGTGACTGAGTAGTCACATGGTCCAACCATCTGTAGGATCTGGAAGAGTCTGAATCACGAGCAGCCGTGGGAACATGGCTGTACAGAATGCTCGCTCTGCTCCCATAGCACAGTTCTCCAATAAAAAGACTAAGGCAGAACTAAGAGTGAGAGCTAAGGAATAAACAAGGCCAAGCACCTTAGTGAAGAAGTGGTGGTTCGCAACAGCAAAAGACCCACAGGATCGCACACATGAATCGGTTGAAGATTCTGCAGAGACTAGTGCTGCCTAGTCAGCATGTGTAAATTACAGGTCCCATCACACCATGGGGCAACTTACCAGTTGGCCAAACCAAAGCGCAGGCACAAGGATGGGTCCAGAGAATGGGGTAGCATGAGGTCCCATCCATTGGAGCAACTTAAATTCTGCCCAGAATCTGGAAACTGTCAGGGCACACACCCTGACTGGCCCGGACCCAGACCCGCATCCGGACCTGCTACACTTCCTGCGTGCACTTCCCATGCCGCATGCTCCACGCACCGCATGATCTGGCCCCGGATCCTGCCCTCATGTGACTTGCAGGTATCCCCGGAAGATTTCCTGATATTGTGGCCACTGTGGGAAGATGAGAAGTTAGCTTCCTTCTCATCTCCTTACCCACAGTCCTGGATAGGGCTGGTTACACATAGGGCTGTGGACCATAGGGGAGGGTCATGGGGACCCAGGAGTTGTCCCCTGACAGAAACCCAGGATTAAGTTAGGACCCAGATAGGTTTTCATCCCTCATGCCCCCTCAGTGCTGTGACAGCACAGGACATGGGGTCATCTCCAGGCTGTGCAAGTGGGACATGATTAGACATGTGAAATAAAAATATTAAATGTAGATATATTGTTATTTTGTGGTTAATTGACTCAGACTGTGCACATTGCTGGCTGCTGTCCAGAGGGGTGTCAAGACTGTTTCCCACGGTCTAGACACACTTTATATAGTTGGATAGCCCCATTGAATAGCTTCCAGAATATATAATTTGAGACTAAATTGACTAATAAATTATTGAGAAAAATGCAAAATACTTTTTTGGACACAAGTCTTTTGGGATAACTCAATGCCTGTGCTCATGCTGTAAAGGGATGTCAGGACTGTTTCCCATGGTGTCACCACACTTTACTTCAATGAATAGTCCATTTGAATAGCTTCCAAAATATATAATTTGGGACTGAATTAATGTCAGGGCTCAGTCTCAAGGACAGCCTGGCCTCAGGGCTGGGTGTGTGCAATGTTCCAGGTGCCTGGGTGCTAGACCCTGTCCTCAGCTCCTCAAACTCACTGAAGGGACTAAGTGGGGATTGAGTTGAAAAGAAGGGTAAGTTTCCCTATTCCCCACTTGACTGCTATAAATGGGAAATGTACTGTACAGTTCATAACGTGACTATGGGTCAACGGAATAGACTTTAAATTCAGCTGCAGGGACTTGAGACTATTGTCAAGGATGGTATCATTCCTTAGGATAGGTCTGATCGCTATCCAGGAGATGCTGTTGGGTGGAGCTCGGTGTTCTGGGTTGTCTGATGGTGGGTCAGAGACAGACTGGAGGTGGGGCGGAGCTCTGAGGGTGATGGGGTGTTGAAGGGACTCGGCTTCAGTGACTCGGAACAGAGCACTGCGCCTGGTACATTCTTGTTGTCCCCAATTTGTCAGGGGAGCTGGCGATGGAGGAACTGAGGCTGCCAGCAGAAGGGGGCTGGAAGCCCCCCCTCACTACTTAACAAAGGAGGCATTAGCGAGGGTCAATCGTTTGTCACATGATTTGTTGGGTTTTATACCAAGGCATCTCTAGGAGTGCCTGTTACTCAGTTCTTTGGAGCAGCAGATGAGTGGGATGTGATAGACATCCTGGAGGAGGTTTTGGAGGGCTGAAGACTGTTTATATTATAACTGGGGGAACTATTTACTAGAGGGGTATGCATGTACATATAGTGGAAGCAATTGGATCCAAAGGTAAACAAAGGTTACCAAGGGAAGTGGCAGTAAATAGAAAAGAAGCCACAAGACAGATAAGGAATAGGCGAAAAGCCTGAATTACATCTGAGGTTGTGGAGTGAGAGAATTAGAAGCCAACTGAATGGCAAGGTCTGGAAGCATCTATGAACAAGCAGGGAACTACAGAGAAAGATGTCTGGAAAGGTCCAGAGCCCGGAAGTTGTAGTCCGGAAGATTGGGGTTGTAGAAAATATCAAATGATAAACAATAAGGATTAACAAGACTGGAGGTAATAGGAATGAGGAGGTACCGGAGGTAAGGAGGTACCAGAGGTGCAGAGACTGGAGTTGGAAGGAGGGTGGATAAGCAAGTTGAGATTTATCAACAACCAGCAAGTCCAACTCCTTTGAACAAGGTGTCTGAGGAGGTGGTGGTATGGTGGTGGAGGTCTGGAGGTGATGCAGATGTAGGTGGGTGGCAGAGTGGGAGAGAGTCGAAGGAGGAGGTAGTCTAGGGCTGTTGGCATCGACCGGAGGCAACAGAGAGAGATTGGGAGGGCTGGTGGAGGTCATAGGAGTCATGTAGTGATAGGGCGGAGGGAGGCAGAAGATCTGGGATATGACAACTATGAGATGAAAGAGAATTTTTGGTTCAAGATTTGGGATCACCATGGGCATGCAGAAGTTGCCAAAGCCAAGTGAGTGTTTGAGGTAGGCCCTTTTCACACCAGAAATGCATTCACAGCCCACAGTGGAGGTTGGGATAAGTGTTAATACAAAGGTTATCTAGCATGGGTTCACAGCAGAATCAAGTTAGAAGGAAAGGCCACTCTCCCAATCAGAAAAGGGTATCAACAGTCAATATCACTGTGCACAATAATGGAAAGAAATCAATATCCAGTCATATTCCAAGGCTGAGCAAAAATTAACTGAGACAGAAAGTTTCAACATATAAATCAGTTCTAAAGGGGATGAATGATGAAAAACACAATCTACAACATCAAATATGGAACCAAAACAAAAAGATGAAGCATGCAGCAAGAAGAATATTACATTATGAAAAGAATGCATAGAAACCAAAGCCCAGCTCAAAATTCAAACAAAGGAGACCACAATTGCTCATTCTGCTGCCCAAGATGCCAAAAAAACAAACACTAAACAGTCAAATACAATATCAAAAAGATCTGACCTGGACCCTTGTCAGCAGTAACTTGCAAAAAGTGTAATGGTGGTTCATGAACTGTCATGGAAGTCATGACATTTCATGAATGGTCACCAAACTTCATGAAGCAGCATGAAGTGTCATCCACAGTCATGCTGGTTCATGACAAACCATCATGGAATTGCATGAGATGTCATGAACCTGCATGGGGGGTCATGATTGCTCATGACTTAAGTGGTTCCAGGCAGGTTTTGAGTGGTTACATGCCTGTCTATGAAGTGTCATGAGCCTTCATAAAGGATCATGGACCCTCATGGACCTTCATGAATCACTATGAGTCTTCCCAAGAATCATTGTGATTGATCATAAATTAGGATTGTTGGTACAACAATGACAGTTGGGGGCATAATGGTTTCATTTATTTGTGCAATGTGCATCTCCATGTTCACGTGTCATACTTTCTAATCAATGCTGTCCCCAGCGGAACTTCGGAAACTCACACGACTCCCTGCTGATTACAAGCGCGTCCAGAGTAAATCAGAGTGCCTTCGAACCACACGGGTTGTGATGCAGCAATCTGTACTTGAACATCTGGGAGAAGTCCAAAACCGATTCTTCTGGCTACGCGGTTCTCCTGGAACTGGCAAGACCGCAATTTCTCTAAGCATCGCTTCGACTCTTGCTAATCAAGGAAGATTGGCAGCGTCATTCTTCTGGGATAAGAATCAAAAAGACAGTGGGCTCGACTCCGCTGAAATGTTACCGTCCACACTTGTGCGACAACTTGCAATTTTCAGTGAGGACTTCAAATTGTCACTTGTAAAACATCTTCAGCGGGAGGACCTAGAATTAGCTTCAAGTCTTGGCTTGGAGGAGCAAGTGAAGGCTCTCATCATTGGCCCAATGTGTGATCTGAAGGAGTTGTGGCTGTTGAGCGAGAAACACTTCGTTATCATTCTTGACAGCTTAGATGAATGTGGGGATCAGGAAACACTTGAGGACTTGATGAAGGCTGTCCTGCTGCTTGATGATCTGCCGATTAACTTTGCCGTGTTTGTTAGTTCTCGTCCAGAAACACAAATCGTTTCGGCTTGGACTGCAAAATTCGGTCCTGCCTACGGAAACCTTCCTTGCGAGGATCTGGATAATTACAAGCATGACTCCACCGTCCTGAGGATGGTCCAGGATGTCATATCCGTGCATACCCGACCCCAACCCGACTTCTGGACCTCCACCCTCTTCACCTCCGGAGTCATAACCTACCGTTGCCGTTCCGATACTCACCTTCGGTCTTGGCAAACACACCTCCCCCTTACCTCTCCGACCCTATCTCCGTCCGCTCTGATACTCACCTTCGGACCGAACATCGCCCCACTCGCCACCCCTCCTACTACTCCGCTCCCCCTTCACAACACCTCCACCCTCCCGTTATCCCCCTACGCTTCCCCCGTCCGCTCCGATACTCACCTTCGGACCTGACTACTCTCCTTTCCGCCACTCCTTCTCCCCTTACCTATCCCCTCTCTCCTCCCTCCGTTACTCCTCCGCCACCCTTCCGCCAAGTTACGACCTTCCACCGCTGTTCCGTACTTTGCACTCGGACACCACTCGTACCTTACTCCGAGCCTCCGTCATAGTCCCTACCTCAGACTTTGACTCCACCTCGGCCATAGTCCATTGCATTGGTGACCTCATACTACGTAAACACCATTGCCAATATTCCTCGGACTTCCAACCCCGCCTCCGTAACCTCCGTAAGCTCCGCAACCCCTGAGCTTCGTGGACCGCCTTCGGCACTCTCACCGCCTGTAATGTATTTCTCGCGTTTTCCCTTCATCCCTATTTGGACTACTGCTTCTTTCTATTCTAGCCAGTTAGTCATCATCCCCACTTCCCCTCATCCTCCTGCCCCTCTGGGCCTCGCCCTCCCTACCTCCTTTCGGACGTATCACAGGTCTTGACCTATGACCTTCGGTACCGCTCCGCTCCCTCTACCCTTTGTTCCCGTTCAGATGTCTTCGTTCCGATTCGGTCACCCTTTGTTCTCTTTGTGCTTTTGCCCCTTCCATTATATATATCGGCGCTTGTACATACTCGTCTTGGTTTCAGTCCGAAATCGACCTGAAATGCCCCCAAGAGACTTCCTGCTCACCTACTGTGAAATTAAGGACCAAATGGACAAACAGCAATGGCACAGCGCTCCGCTTGAGTCGCTGAGGCCAAGGTCCCTCCACGCTAAGTCTCCGATTCCACTCCAGAGTCGTCCGTTTCCGCCCCGTTCTAACACAGGAGAAGCTTGCGGACTGTATCCAAAAATCAAAGTGGAAACCGTTAGAACGACACTTTCGTTCTTTCGCCTCAGCTTGTCGTGGATTGCCCATTATCGCTGAAATGCGGATTCGTGATGTTCGCCGTCTGACTCAACGTGGTGCTGACTTTCAATCCGAATTTGAATACTTTTTCAATCTCGAGAACGCGCCTACCGATGTTCGTTCTGAGTACCTGCGCGTCTTTCGACGAGCGTACATGCTCGATTCCAAAATCCATCCCCACGTTGCCGAGACTTACCGCCAAGTCATGGGGATGATCATCGCCGCACATGATCCACAGGTGAACAGCGTACGTTGCCTGTCGTTGCTCCTAGAGATGACAGAGGATAAAGTGCGGACGTGTTTGGAGCCGATCAGCTCTATACTTAATCTCCCCTCGGATAATGCCCGAACCATTGATTTCTACCATGCGACGGCAAAGGAATTTATCACCGGTAACCCCGTTGTCGATGGAAGTGACACTGACAAGGCCTTCTTCATTGATGACGTGGAGGGATACTTCATCGGCTTTCGACTCCTTGCACTTGTGGATGACATCATCGATCGGAACCTGTATGACATCCCCACGGAGACGTCATCTGGAGGTGTAAACAAACGGAAGAATTTTCAGGAACAGCTCAGGAATCTTCCTGGACATGTCAAATATGCCCTAAGGCACTTGTTTGACCATTTAGATCCATCTCAACTTTTCTCCCGCGACGAAAATGAATTGCAGCACAAGTTTGAGCGCTTTATTACGCGCAACCTATTGTCATATCTTGCGCTGAATCCTCGATTCTCATCTTCTCACATGCCTGATCGATTGCGTCACCAAGTCCAGGTGAGTCTCCACGTCTACTTTCCCTGTTCGAATAATTAAAGCTCCACTTTCGTTGCATCCAGCACCATTCAATTAGGCTTCTAAATGAGACTGCGTATTACAACGAGCACTTGCTTTCAATTCCTCGTCATCCTTGGCGGTATCATCCATCCTCTCTTCGTTTCATCCCACCATCATCTGAATTGTTCAAGCAATACCACCATCTCTCCGATTCTTGCATCCGCATCTTCTGTTTTGGTGACCAGCTTTCTCATGGCAACACCATTCCACTAAGTGAGGGTGTACTCATGGCGCAAAATGCCGTCTCTTCCGACGCACCTGAAACGATAACGATTCCGGTCGAATCGCGGTGGCTTGCTCGCAAATTTGGTGCAGTTGATTATAAGGCTGAATTTGATCATGCCGGTACTCGTAATGGCACTGTTACCAGTGCGGCAATATCTCCAGACGGCCGTTATGTTGCCCTTGGTTTCGGAAATGGCATGATCGAGGTTGCTGATATTGATGATCGATGCGCCGTCTCCCAATTCCAGTGTGATGCTTCCAATCATCCCATTTGGATCGAGTTCGTCTCTGGCGATTGTCGTATCGCCGTGGAAGACAACAAGGGAAGGGTTATCATCTTTGCTCGTGGTGCACAGCCCGTGAGATTAAAGGACCCACTTCCTGTGTGCCGCTATTCTGTTGTGACGGCAGTGCCACAGGATAGGTCATTAATAGTTCGGGCACCAGGGGACGAAAAGTGGTACAAAAGTGTGGTCGTGCTATCTGTTTCAGATCGCCCATCTATCCGGTGCCTGCCTTTCCCTCGCTCTAACTCTTTCCACTCTGGATCGAAACACACAGCCCGGTCATACCCTAAGTTTCCATCTATTCCTTTCCATGGCTCACTTGGGTTTTCCCCAGGAGCTCGTTACGTCGGCGCCTATGACAGGGAGAAAGCTTTCGTTTGGTCGATGGAGTCGTATGAGCTCATTGCTTACTATCAGGTACCGAGCTGCCCCACTTGGATATTGAATCCAGGAGTCGGACCCCCCCCCCTCATCATATACCAGACATAAGCCTGTGTTCCTTCGACGTACTCATCCTGATCACGACTTGGATGAAACCTGGCTCAACTGCCCGTTTTATGACATTTTGAGAAACGAAGATGGGGAGGTCCATTCCTCCATGGTCGGAAGGACTCCACTGCTTCATCGGGTCACCACCACGGTCTCACTGTATCGATACGTAATCTCATTCGATGGCAGAGAACTTCTCTTTGTCCCAAATGGATATCACCCGATCAGACTCGATAGCCGCAATCGTTATGCTTGGTATGGGGATCGGATGCCCCTGACGGACTTTTACCATCCCCGCTCCAGCAGGGATGGAACTCGATTCCTGCTCCAAGGTCACATGAAAGCACCACTTGTCATCGAGATTGTTTAGTATCTTTGCACTCGCTTGGGATTTTGATGTTTAGTCTGAACCTGTGAGTCGGTCAACAAGTTTCCATTTACGACATCTACAGAGCTAGAGAATGTATGTTAAATCGAGATTGTTAATGTGCTGGGCACATCGGTTATGGGTCTTACTGCTCTTCATTTCCTCTACGCTCTCCTTGTCAAACTCAACCTCTGGATGCTGCAGCATTGAATCCTGTCCCGGTGTCCGGCCGTTCGAATCCTCCGTGTCTCGCGCGACTGTGTGATCCATGCATAGGCCTCACGCCCGCGGCATCTCAATAACACTCAATACAATGCCCATTGCATTTTATGGCTCGTTCTCCACGGATACCATTAACTCTTCCTCGCGTCTTCAGAAGGAAGGCTAAAGCTCTGGGACAGCCACTATAGTCTGCGTCGTCAGCCACTTGCGGAAGACCCATTCGTTCCTCCAAACAAAAGGTTTCAGAGTGTCCAGGGGTCGTAACACTGTCCGAACTCGATTGTCGCGTGCATGGAGCAACTTCATCGATAGCAGCAAATACTGCCCGCTCAACAGCGGATAGGTAACTAGATATCATCGAAGAATTCCATGAGGCGATGATGGCTGGTTTGTATCGCACCTGGAGGTAGGGACTTAATGCTAGAACACGGGAAGATTGAGGTCAGCCGTGAACTGTCCATTTTGAGAAGGCATCCCTACGTATCAGAGAGCTTTGTGAGTGCCGTCCCTGCCAGCTGATCGGCTACAACTTTATCGAAGAAAGCTGCATTGAGACATTCATGCAGAACTCCTTCAACGGTGTTAGCTCCACTTTTCCATCCCTCTTCCTCGTCAGGATCTCTTTCGGCTAGAGATTGGAGAGCCTGGCCGTGCGCGTGCAGCAGTAGAGAAAAGGTGATTTCACACACGGAACGCAGGTCTTGGATGAACTGTCTTGGGTCCGTTTCTGAGTCTGCTAACCTGAACACCTCCACCTCGCCTAGTTTGCCTCGGAAGAATTTGCGTTTCTCGCTGTGATCGTACTTGAAATATGTAAAAGACTCCCCGTCAAACAGAATGCAGTATACGGGGCCGTTATATGATAGAGTGAGGTTTCGGTAATCACGAGCTGGCATGAAATAAGCACGCCATTGACATTCTCAAACGAATGAGTCGACAACTTACCATCGGCCTCTGCAACCATTTGCGCGATGGCATTCCGTCGTTCCATTGGAGTACCCAGCTTATACATAGTCACGACAACCAGCAGCGTTAGCCCGCCGACAGCGACAAAGTGATGTTCAACCCTGCCCTTGGTTGCAACACGGCCCCCAAGGGCTGTTTCGGGAACACCAGTGATCGAAGAGCAGAATAAATCCGCCACTCCGATAAAAACCTGGAGCAACGATCAGCCAAGAGTGCCATCCGTGATGACCTAGTCTCACTGGGGCTATGAAGCGGGAATGAGCCTCTTCGTTTAAATGAGTCCGTAGGGGCCCATATACGGAATTGTTACGATCGATCTGTTGGACTATCGACTTGAAAAATACCGTCGGGATTCGAGCTCGCTTGAGTTCAAACTTGGGGAGCCTTGCAAGCCCGAAAAAGGTATCAATCCCGACAAAGGGGGCAATTTGTTCCCAGGTTACGTGAGAGAAGCTGATATCAAAGCCTTTGGCTAAGGGCGATCTTTAAGATGCCTCAGTAGAGTCAAAAGAACGAAACGGGACTCACCGTTTGCAAGCTTCTTCAACGTCTGTCAATCAATCTCATATTGTTCCATAAGATGAAGGATGGCAAGCTCAGCAGACTCATAGGTTGTGATGGCGACATTGAGGGCCTCCTCAACTTGGTCGCTTCTTAGCAGGCCATGAGACACTCGTCGCTTCTGGCTCCATGGCATTTAGATTGTTGAGCCCGGCATACCCCGTTGAAGCACATTTACATCCAAAAGAGGAAGCCACGTCGCGCTTATTGGTAACGTTAATGGCACTCAAGATCTGTTTCCTTGCCTGGTCGTTGCATTACTACTTGCGGGCGCTCCCGCTATTCTAGTTGAGCACCTAGTCCCTCACTGTGGAAGCAAACTTTGGTAAATAACCAGGATTAATGAGTCGACCATTTCCATCGATTTCAATGGTATAGTGTTTTACCAAATCGAAATTCGAAAAATTTCTCGCGGGTCTCCACCAAAGCAGCTCGTGTGGGTGCATGAGACCATCATAGCATTTCCACTTCTTTTTTTCATCGTGAACCAAGTGTTGGAATTCAACGGGCACTCAGTAGGAGCTTAGGCCCTACGGCCATCATGGGTTTAAGGTGGCGTGGTTGTAACTTCTTTTTCCCTTTATTCTTCTTCGCTTTGACATCCCGCTTTGAGTCGGGACCGACTACTCTTTGGCCTGGCGCACTACGCGCTGGTGCCCTATCTCTTTTCTATAAAACTTTCGCCTTTTCGCATTCTCATCCCCCTCAGTTCACTTTAACGTGAAGCTGAGGTGAGATTGATACTTCGACTAGTTATTATGATTCTTACTAATAACTAATGTACGATAGTTATTTCGCGATTAGGTACTATAACATTTTCAGTTCACTTTAACGTGAAGCTGAGTTATTTCGCGATTAGCATACTTATTCTAAGACCAAGTCCCAATATGTATTCCGTCGGCATGGAGCCAGGTACCAAGACGGAGGCCATAATCTGCCTGTCGTGTGCAGTCTTCGCCCTTGTCGAGACTTCCTCTTAACTGCAATCTCTCCCTTACCTTGCTGCGTCCCTATCCAACTGGCACCGGATCCACATAACGCATTCTTGCTTCCTTGGTGCTCCGTTTTCTGGGCCTTGGTCCACACTTCACAACTGACTACTGCCAATAATAAACTTTGGTGTCACGAAAACCCGATCTTGTGAGATCGGCGCCTCCTATCTTAGCGATCCAACATACATTGTGCTCTTTGGTTAGAGCGATATCTACTTGATCCCATTCTCATTGGACGCGTGTTATGATGCACCCACGCTGTCACCCTATTGGGAAACTATAATATCTCTAACGTCAAGCAAGGCAAGATAATATAACATGTCTCCTAGCTGAACACTAAGTGTCTAAACCCATGGACATGGAAACTACTACCTCAACGCCCTGTCCTCAGGAACAAAGCCTCTACGGGGTATTATCCAACCGGAAAGTATGCCTACTATCACTTCTTCCCACTTCGTTGACTTCCTATTCCAGGAAGCAACAAACAGCTCTGAAGCGACCAGAATTCGAAGCGATGGGATTGGCGGCACGAAAACATCGATGCGAGCTACCTCTGCGACACCCACATGCATCGTGCCTCCTGGTGGTATACCTGTCTATCCTCCGATATCTCGATTCTTAGCCTCGTGCTGTGAATGAGTGCTCCTTCCCAAGTCAGTGTTCAACAAAACAATTTCCCCACAACCCAACCTCGCACAAGTGGTTCCCAGCTCAAAAACCGGTGCTACTTGACTCCTGCAATGCTAAGCATTTATCCCCGGAGCTTCTCGAGTCATGTCGGGACGTTCGACACTGTTCCCTGTGTTGGGGTTGCACCGCTCTTCCCAACCGTAGGGTCATTCTGCTCTTCTTTCGCCCTCCTTTTCTGTTTCCCAAGTCATTCCACGCTTAAAAGCAAGGTGAAACTCCAACTTCTAATGTCGTGAACTGAGGTGAGATATTTACTCTCTATTCCCTTGGATCGCTTGCTCATAACCCTGCAAATATCTAGCGCTTACTTAGATGCCATTTCCACGTTTCCATGCTTGTATGCACCAAAAACTTAGTTGTCTGTCCGATGCTATTTCCGTTTGCCATTGTCTGTGTGTTGGGGACTCACACGCACCGATGAAGCGTTGTTGCAAAAAAGTAAAGACACCCTCCCGTCCTCCCTGATTATATCCTGGTTCATGTACAAGCTGTTGAAATCACCGCGATGGTTACTTCTCGGGCTATTTCGTTCCGGATATATATTCGAGTGGATATTATTATATTATGGGTTCTTTCTTGTCTCACTGCTCCATGCACACAACACCCGTGGTTCTGGCGCTTCCCCAACTATAATATCAATACATCAAAGATGCTTGTACGAGTAGCGATGAGAAGAGATGAAGCGCGTACTAGTAAATACTAAACGATTTGGCTGATGTCGACAACAATTGGGGCTCTTTTCCGGCCCTGGAGTAGAAATCGAGTTCCATCTCGGCTGGACTGAGGGCAGTAGATCCCTTCATAATCACGTAACATCCGGTCACCATACCAGGATGGGTTATCTGGGTAGAAGTCCGATGGGAGCTCAAGCTCTGCTCTGCCATCGAACCAGACTGATGAAAACTGGATCAGTGGGGTCCTTCCTACCGCAGACGAATAGATGCTACGGGACGAAGACCCTGTGAGTGGCGAGATATCGTAAAATGGGCACTTGATCCAGAATTCATCTACTGAATCAAGTCCTTCATCAGCCATGTCGCCTTCTACCGAGGGAATAGTGGCTCGAGTGAACATAGGATCAGGGATGAGATATGAGCGTGTCGGAGGGACATTGGGATTAATAATCCAATAATCGAAGTTCGTCACCCGATAACCCACAATACACTGACATGATTTGGTTGACCAGGTAACGGCCTGGGTCCCATCAAAAGCACCAACATAGCGTGCTCCTGGAGAGAAACCAAGGGTCCGACGGTGTGGAATGACTAACTTCGTATTATGGAATTGAGAGGATGGGGAGAAAGGAGGAGAGGCGAGAGGCTGAATAGATGGAACCTCCGAAACAGATATGAGCATCATGTTGTCACACCAAGGGTCGTCGAGATTTCGTGGGACTCGCACGACGAATAATCCGTTACCTGAGGCTGTGGTTCCAGCTGGATAGGGACCAGTGGGAAGAGTGTCAAGATTTACAGGGATCATACCGTCACCGAGGATCATTACATTCCCATTGTTATCCTCAGTGGCAACTCGGTGGCTGCCGTGGACGAATTCGATCCAGGCCGGGAAATTGGCTGGATCGTGCTGCAATCGGCAGATCGTGCACTGGTGGTCGATATCAGCCACTTCGATAATTCCGCTGCCAAATCCGAGTGCAATATAGCGACCATTGAGGGAGAGTGCAGCGCATGTCACGATGCCATTGCGAACATCGGGTTCACGGAATTCAGCTTCATAATTGGTTACCCTACGTCCTTCATAAACTGCATCTGGCAGTGTACTTAACTTTGCCTGCATGACTTCTCGGGCACTGAGTAAATCCTTGCTTAATGGAATGGTGCCACCTGAGAACTCGCCAAAAGCGGAGAAGATCCGGACATCACAGAGATGGCCATATTGTTTGTAAACAGACGACGAGGGTGGAGCGAACGGAAGCTTCGATCGATAAAGTTCCCATGGTTTATATGCAGCAGTGCTAGCTACGAGATGTAAATCTCTCAGAAGTTGGATTGAATTGTGATTCTATCAAAAATGACATCAGAAAAACGCCGGAGGAATAGTTTATACTTACATTGAATTGATGTAATTCGTCGGGAAATATTATGGGATCCTCCACATCTTGCAAGTGCATGAAAGTCAAGATGTATTTTTGCGTGATGAAGGAATTAAACTCGTTCTGCAATTCATTGGACTCTTGTGAAAAAAGTCGCGAAGGGTCCAAGTGCTTGAACAAGTGTTTAATAACATAGGAGAAGCGCCACCAATATTCCTCCTTTTTCGCCATAAATTCCTTCCAAATTCTTTCATCTCCTAGGGGGGGATTCGTAGGTATTCCAAATGCATCCTGGTCACAATAATTCTTGAAGAGTCGAAGGAGTGGCAATCCAAGGAAATACCCTTTCACGTCATCGATGAAGAATACTTTGTCCTTTTCATCGCCAATTGGCTCCCCTGTAATAAATTCTTGTGCCGTTGCGTGATATAAGGTGACTTCTTCTGTGTTCTCTGAGGGAAGATTAACGATGGAGCTGATGGGTTCCAATGTCGCACGGATCTCGTCTTCGCCAATCTTGAAAAGCTGTGACATAAAAGAGACGTTCATCGTCATGCGCGCTGCAACAATCGCGCCAACCACTGAGCGATACTTCTTGGCTACATCTGGGTGAATATCAGATGAATCCAGCATGTAGGCTTGTCGAAGAATTCGCAAGTACTCCCAGTTGAGGTTGGCAGGTGCATTGGTGAGGTTTAGCAACTCCCGGAACACCGACTGCAAGGTGCGGCCACGCCGTGTCTGCAGGACAACATCGCGAACCCGGATAGACGCCATGACAGGTAACCCCCAACAAGCCCGAGCGAAAGCGCCAAGTTCCCACTTGTCTGGTTTCCACAAATATTTGTCAAAGAGGTGCTGAAGGCCTTCTTCCACCATACAGCGGACCGTGTGGAAAGCTTCTCTCACTACAACCTTGTCCAAATCTTCACATAGTATGGCATGACCCTGGGCCCGAGCTTCATCCCAAGCTGAAATGACTTTTGGCTCAGGACGACAACTAACTAGCACAGAAAATATCGGCGGGAGCTCCTGAAAGGCAAGCACTAGTTCCATCAGCGACCCAAGTCTCTGCTGATCCCCGCACTCATCAAGGCCATCCAGGACGATAACGACGCGATCCTTTCCCAAAGGCCATATATCCTCCAAGTCACGCATGGGCTCAATTATCAGGGTATTAATTTGTTTGTCCAAAGGGAGACCCTGAATAGAGACCAAATCCCGTTGCCGAAGGCGTCGTCTGACAAAAGACAATTTGAAGTCCTCATTGAAGGATGCAAGTTGGCATGCAAGGGTAGAAGGGAACAGTTTGATAGAGTCCAAGCCTGTTCCTGTCTGGTTTTTATCCCAAAAGAATGATGCGGCCAGCATACCCTGCTCCTTAAGGGTGGATGCGACACTCATAGATATCGCAGTCTTCCCCGTCCCAGGAGATCCCCGTAGCCAAACGAATCGGTTCCCAGCTCTTTTCAGGTACTTGAGTAGGGATTCTTGAATCTTAACACCCGTGTGCCTGGCAGGCACTCTGATTTGCCTTTCACATGAATGTGCTCGGCCGGGGTTCGCTTGAGTTTCGATATCTCGGCTAGGAACATTAGTGATTAGGCAATCCATAAGTATGTACGCAAACACGTACATTGAACTGATGCGTGCTCGGTACGAAGCAGGATTGAAGTCGACAATCTTAGCTGTGACAGACATGGTAAGTCAGGATCCAGCCGTTCGGGGGGTCTCGAGCACGCAAACCTCGAATCGATGAATACCACCATTTAGACAGTTCTTCATATCGTTTATTTGTTGTGTGATGTTGGACGCCCGAAGGGTCTTCTTGACGACCTGTTTTTCCTGGAGTGATTTAATTGCCTCCACTCATGTTTGTAAAGCCCTACGGAGAGAATCAGTGAATGTGAACGAGAGGAAGACGAGATGCGTACATGTGGAATTCCTGCACTAAGGTCTTGAGCTCAGGAGGGATTTTTTCGGTCCACTTCCGGAGAGGCTCAAACATCGACTCTTGCGCTTTCTGAATTACGGTGCACAACTGGTCGAGTTCCTCTGCGTTTCTGCTGACATTCTGCATGCATGCACCGAGTATGAGGAGCAATCACGATCGGGATGGTCAAGATGATTTGCGAACCTCAAGGATTTGGATCGATGTCAGAAGGTTGTTTGGGATCTGGTGGAGATTAGCGATGGGGACGATCTTGAGATCAACGGCCGCAGTTCTGAGAAGTCGTTTGGTAGCGCCGATGATCGTTTCCTTCAGATCGCCATCGGATCCACGAGGTACTGATTCCGCTGGCACCAATGAAGTGGCTAGGACTGACGATCCAGGTTCTTGTTCCAGGTGGACGCTTAGGTCATCGTCACCAGTGGCAAACGCGTTGCCCATGACTCGTGAGAAATCGGTGGTGAGAGGGGACAGCGATAGCCGTGAGTCGTTCGGGGATGTCTGAACGGAAGTAATCGACATAGAATGTTTGGATTGGGATGCACTTGATTGGTTCCGACGACCGGGAGCGGGACTGGGACTGGAACTTTCTGGGAGTAGCCAAAGTAACTTGTCTCGAAAAGATGTCTGTTGCTTCGTGGCATCATCCTGTAAGATGCCAGTTGAGACCTGCGACCGATCATCAGGAGGCTCAGAGGGTTGAGGCTTGAACCCGATGGGAATGCGGCGAGGTTTAGGATCACTGGGCATGGTGCCGGTGGGATTGCGTTCACCCACTTTAAGAAGCTTGCGCTTGGTTCCTTCATCAGGAGGCTCAGAGGGTAACCCGATGGGTGCCATGGGGTCGGTGCCCACTTCAAGAAGCTTGCGCTTGGTTCCTGAAGGGGCAACGGCCAGTCTGCTGAATTTCAGCTTCGGCCTGCTGATAAATAAGGACTCGAAACTTTCGACAACTTCACTAAGGGCGGGACGGAGAGAAGGATCGCGTGCGAGACACTTCTGAAGCATTTCATGGCAAGGACCCGAGGAGTCCCACTCGTAGGGGTCCACGGCCGCAAATAGAAGGTAGTATTCGTTGCGGATACTTTCGTAGGGATGTTTACCGAGGAGTATCTGAAGACGGTGAGATCATAATTGATACACAGAAAGATATGGAATACCTGCGACAGCGTGGATCCAAGGGACCAAACGTCACCTTGTCGGTCGCATGGGACTCCGTCTCCAGCCAGAATTTCTGGGGCGACATATCTTAAGGATACAGAGAACGCACCCTCCACTTTGAGGTGGACGGGTTCATCTCTCATGGCGTACGAGAACCCAAAGCCACTGATTCGAGGAATGGGATCCTCATCACCGACATCATGGCCGATGTGGACGTTGTTCTGGTAAATTGGCTAACTAGTGGTTTCAACATGAGTGGACCAGAGCGTACGAACTGGATTGAGATTCCCATGAACGACATCGTTAGAGTGAAGATATGAAAGCCCTCGGGAAACCCCAAGAATCTAATGAAACGCTTAGGATAACAGGGACGCATTGAGGGCGCACATGGCGAAACGTACCAGTCTTTGACGATCCGCATTCACATTTGCGCTGAGATAATCCATCACTTTCCCTCCCTCACAACCAGCGTATGTAACTCTCGCGCGAAGCCAGGTCTTATCCTCAAGATTCACTATCCATTCTTGGAATCGAGCAATGTTTGTATAAATCAAAGAGCGAAGCATCTTCAACTGGCGCTCCACGCGCTATGACCGATGATTTTAGCCTGTGCTGATGTTGGCGAATAAATCGCAAACCTGAACAAAATGCTCCGCCTCCTCCCGCGAGAGATCAACCTCGTGTATGACTTCCATGAGAACACTGTTCTCGCCCTAAATATGCCACCAGATGAGGGAAACCCAGTCGAGTTAATAGCATTATGCCTACTCCATCACCTAGGGTGGGGACGGTAGTTCGGATATCGATCACCTCTCCGTCCAGATTGTGTGAGCCGCTAACAATGTGACTACTTGAAGCGGATGAAGCAGATATCAGTTCTGCCATCTTGGCCGGTACACGGTGCAGAGAAGCAGCTCAGCAAAGGTCTAGGCAGCCTTATGATATAGGCTCCAGCAGTTCGGGGAGTTCCCCACATCGAATAGGCCAGTGATAAGCCACGCCAGATTTGGAGGTTCAGAGCAGCCAGCTTCGCCGGATTGAGCTGCGCCCCTATCTGCGCCCCTTCGCCCCAAATTTGCATCCGATCATCAAGGTCTTGCCAAGATAAGGGTGCTCTGCGCGGCCAGATCGAATGAGCCCTTTCTGTCCAGGTCACTTTACCTTAACCCTTGTTCCACCACTCTCTTCGTCTCTTGCACTTCATGCAGTAAGGATTCAGCCATGTTGCCCGACGATGAGGAATCCCTAGTACAAGATGTCACGGAGAGACTGCTGCGAGTTGACCCCAGGAAGCTCAACGACCGAGTGGTAGTTATGTCGGGTAATCAGGCATGGGGTGCTTTCGGGGAGATTCACAAGGGGACCTACAACACAGTTCGTATTTTTCACAGTCCTCCACTCGTTGAGCTGCCATCTCGCGCATCTTTCTAGAACAAGGTTTGCATAAAAACTTTCAAACGTATTGATGATGTAGGAAAATTTATTGAAGTATGTTGACGCGGACATGATGATTCTCTGCCATTCACTCGCAATCCTCCAAGCGGCTAATTCGTGAGATGAGGGTATGGCGCAAGCTGACGCATGCACACATCGTTGAACTTCTCGGATGGATGTCATACCTCGAGAGCAAGGAAAAGTTATGTCCAAGCTTGGTGTCACATTGGTGCGACGAAGGGGATGTCAGGACTTTTCTACGGCGCCGTCGCGATGCCGATCGCCGAGCCTTGGTGAGTCTAACTCTGCGCCATATGGTTCACTTTTCATGTTCATGAGGATGTTGTTCCAGATCCGCGGTATTGCTAATGGACTGGCATATCTCCATTCGCAGGAGATAATACATGGCGATATTAAGCCTGTGAGTCATTGTCATGTTATAGGAAGTCACAGTCAGCAACTCCCGTGAATCCGCTTGCATCGTCAGGAAAATGTTGTCGTGAGTGGTGAGGAAACCCCGCAGTTATGTGATTTCGGGCCTTCGTTCATTATTTGTGACATATCAATAACGCGAGCACGTTCGGGACGTTTCGATACTTAGCGCCCGAAGTGATCGTAGATGAGAAACCCACTCGCGACGAAAAGAGTGATGTCTGGGCATTCGGATGCACAGCCCTCGAGGTATGAATGGATATTTTAACGCTTTATTGAGGGCTGACAGTTATGCTCAGATTCTTCGCGATGCGCGACCATATTCCTCCATTACAAATGACTTTGCCATTATCAAGGCTATTGGGTTTGGAAAGCCACCGTTTACCCTCTCCTCGACGGACCCTACTGAGATACTTCTGGCTCCCTGCCTCAAGCCTAACCCTAATGATCGAACTGAAATGCAATCGGTTCTCAAATCGCTGCCGAATCATTCTGGAAATGGGCAATTTGACTATTGCTCAGCAGCACCATCTTCAGACGTACACATCAGTGGGCCAACTCTGCAATTCTCGGCATCACATGAGGAAGGGTCTTTGCCCAATCCAGCGTCATAAAGTATAACCGATGATACCGGTGTGGGTAGCCGCAATCTTGAGGAATACATCTGATCCACTACGACCACATCCCTTGTTTGGTGACTGCGCACCGCGGAGGTTCTACCCTCATGCATGACTTATTTAAAGTGGACACTGGGGACGCAATCTATTATTAGAGAAGGACCAAAGCTCGCAACGAGGCTTGGAAAGGCGAGGAGTGGGCTCGCAGACACAGTACATCAGCTTGTGGTTGATGAGATTGGCGATTGGGTTCAGGATTGTCAATGCGGTAATTACCTGCACAGCAGGTCAATGCGAGTCCTGTTATTTCCCAGGACTGCTTTGTGGGCGCATCGTCTCGCAGCCCCTAACGAAGGCCGATATATCGCCCGAGCCAACTTTGAGTTAATATGAGTAGCTGGATCAACGTTCATCAGCAGTTGCGAATTTGGGAGTTCTTCCTAGCAATGCAATAGCTCTCGTTCAGATTGCAGTGACAATTAATTTGACTTTTAACTGGCCTGTAAGGAGGCTGCTTTCCATTCCTGATCTGATAGTTGGGTTCCACCAAAGTATTTGACGCACTACATTTCTTTACATCACGCTTACATGCTCAAAACAGCGCCAACGCTTCCCACTTCGTCTACGCACCAGTCGATCTCATGCATCCATCATTGGCAGGACGGAACCGCCAACTAAGCTTTTCCTGCTCGTCTCGCTTAGGTTAGTTCCATTCACAAAGGACTTTCGAGCTGGCTTCCGGGACTTCTTTCATGCGCACATTCGTGGTCTCTAATCTAGGCCGGCTCCATTGACGTTGGGAGAAACCTCTTGTGTACATTTTCATGGCGGTTGGTGGTTATGTCGATGCGTGGCTGGGTGGTGGCAGGTGAGAGGTTGGTGTTGCCTTGATTTAGAATACCTGGTGGACGATCACACACTGCATGCCGAGTGCCCGTAGTATTTCATTGCGCATTTACGTTCAAGTGGCTTGGGGACCTGCCACTTCACTTGTTGCATCAGTTTCAATGCTGCGCGTTCATTTATCGTTTGCGGAGCTCAATGGGCATTGTATTTGGAAATCTGCTAAAGATGAAGATGGTGGTAATACACGATCAAAATTGGAGTACATGAGTCTAGTGTGAAATGGAGTGATCTGATGGATGCTGGATATCAAAATAACGAAGAATAATGGTCAGGATCGGATAGGTTGAACATGATTGACTGGAGGACAACACAGTGCCTCACGCAAAAATGACGCGTCCGGACGAACAGTATTTACTTTTGTCGCCGACTCCCGTAGCAAGGAAAGAAACGGAAGGATCAACGGCATCTTCCTCTCACAAAGCTCATAATCGATTGCGAGCACATCGGTATAAACGCAGACGAAAACATGCGTTACAAACAGGCCCGGTGCATGCACAAATGCCAACGTGACATCGTAGTCGCGATGACTGCCGTGGCCTGCTGAAGGAGGTCGAGGTTCAGACGCGAGGGGGTTATGGTAGGTGGTAGGTTGATGCGATCAGGATGATGTGGGTAAGGGACATTGGACGTTGGCACTTGGTCGGTTGGTAAGGTTACGAGTGGGCCGGGATGTGCAGGTTGGTAGTTATCATCGGCCAACGTCATGAGCGTCCTCGCTTGGCAGACGATGGCCCAGCGTGCCGTGTCCACCCTCTATTGGGAGGTGTGCCTATAGCACCAAAGGTGTTGGGTTGTCCTCGGCTGCTGACAGCCTGAGGGACTATCTCATCGGACTGGCCGATGCAAACACTCATCAATGGACGGCTCTACGGACAAATGGAAAAACCTTCACTCACATCACTCCGATGAGTTGAGTATACGACGGGGTCGGGTTGCATGTGGACCCGGTGCCGACGTCCTTGATGCGTACCCCATCCAGCGCTGGGTCCTGGCGGGGGCGGGTGTAATCTTGAAGCGGACAGGGGGTGGGGCATTACTGGAGCTGGTAAACCGCTGGCACCGATCCTGCTTGCGACCACCGGGGGCAGGTGGTACGGCCGTATCTGCGGCGGTACAGGGTGCCGAACGCCCCGAGGGACTGCTGTAACCAGGCTCGGCCCTGGAAGAAACATGGAGTAGACATGAGGGGGTAACGGCGCCGGAACACTAATGACTGGCGGGGGCGCGCAATGCGGGCAGTAGGGGTAATGAGGGTACATGGGCAACACTGCACGCGGCAGGACGGTTCCCACTTGGCTCCCTGTCCTAAACTGGGTGAGCTGGGGTGGGACAACCAGCGCCCGTCGTGTCGCCCCACCGCCCCGCATCCTCCCATCTCCCCTGACTGCCAAGGGAGGCGCACCCCCCATGTACCTCGGGTGTTCTGGTCCCCAGATACGACCTTCAGATCTTGGTCGAGGCTTCAGTGCATGTGCCACCAATAGACCCGGGAGGAAACATATCAGGGCGTATTGAACGGCTTCGCAATTGTTTGATGGACTACTTACCTGCTGCTGGGGGGGTCGACTCGTTCCCTCACTGCGATCGTGGTGGCGATACACGGTTTGGAAGGGATATTGCATCGTGTTTTTGTTTTTCCCTTCGAGCCTTCTGGTAACGCCTGTTGCAGTTGGAGTTGAACACGTGTTCGTCGTCCAAGCAGCAGGGAGTACTCTTTGAGTTACGGCGAGGGGGGATTTACTGAGGCCCTTACCACTATATCTGTTCAGTTGGGTGGCAGAAAAGGACAGCAGCAAGGGGCCGTTCGAAGGAAGGGTCGCAACCAAACGTGTATATTATAGATGTTGTGGATGTTTGAATGTTCAGTAAACAAAACGTCGGCGTTCTCCCTTTGCTCTTGCCTTTCCTGTCAATAAGCCCACGAGGGAGCGCGAAAAAATAGTGCAGAACCGTAGACAAGAGCAGACAAGGCAATGCTTCTGAGTGAAGGCGGTGATGCCTTTTGGGTTCCGTGCATGGGTTGCTTTGGGGAAAAGCTCGGTGCATTTCCATATCTGCCAGTTTTGTTGATAGAACTGACCGTGCCATGCATCTTCATTGGAGTACATATGCATGAGCGGATACAGTTATACACTGGACACAAATAGCCCCATCGATATTCTCTGTGCACTGGGACCGTCACATCGCTGTCTCTAGAGTCCCGCAACGAACGCGTGCATCACTGACACCATGATGTACGAGAACGACCCCATAATCGTGTCCCTTGCGTATGCAAAGTACGATGTCCTGCGACCCGCCACCACCGATTATGTAACTTCACGGTTCAGATAACCGATTGCTCTTTCCTTCATCCTTCTCGCTACACAATCCACACCCCTGTCGTTCACAGTACCTCACCGCAGACGTCTAATGTGGTGTTTGAGCCCCAGAGGACGGCCTGATCACTATATTGATTAGACATCCATGTAAAAATCAAGGGTCTCTAATCTTATGCCGGAGAAATAACAGGATCGCGGACGAGTTCGGGCAAGTCGCTCTTGAATCCTAGCCCTGCGCGGACACCCGTCCATCCATCCATACGCACTGCGTACTATACTTGCTTTATCTACTATGCCGGACCGGTCTATATGATACCCAATACTGTGATTGGCTCGGCCTTGATCAACGAACCCGGCCAGCCACAGCTAGAAGAGTGTAGTAACTTTTGTTTAGGCAATTTATTACATAGTGCGGGTCCTCTCGATCTAGATTCCCGGATCCCTTCTCTGCATGAATCGGATTCGAAAGCTCCACACAGGTGTACTAGTCACAACACGCACAATTAGTTACCTACTTCGACCTTATACTACGAACCAACTCGGCCAAGCCCCTCCAGAGTCCAAACGGGCGGACACTTGGCCCTTCGGCCGAAATCCTCCCCCATTCGCGATCGATCTATTTCAATATTTCCCCAAGTGTGATGGAACTTGTCGTTCCAGACCAACCACCACCACCACAACGTGCACACCCCAAAAAATCATGATTCGAGTTCAATGGGCGAAATCGCAATTATTGGAAAAACGGCACGATGTACATATATGTATATGCGACGACCCTGATCAAACAAGTGCGATAGTTTTTCTCCACACATGCACTTTTTTGTCGATTCGTTCCTGGTTGTTGTTGGTTTCCTTGCACGGACAATCCGTCCAACTCTGACATGATGCGATTGCACGACGCGAGTCGACTTCAACAGTTGTACTATTTTCATTTTATTGTATTTCTTCTTCTAATTTCTTAGAAGAATGTTCGTCTGAAGTCCCCCCACGGAGGGTTGTGTATATAACTGATAGGGAAGATGGTCTCTCAAGCTAGTCTTCGACCATGATGAACAAGTACTATTAGAAAAAACAAAAAAAAAGGGAAGAAGCGGTTGTTCTAAACCAATAAGATAGTTTTGAAAAAAGAGAAGCGAAAAAAGAAAAACGAGGCAGCAATTAATGGCATTTCCCCTCATCATCACGCTCGAACCTCAGCCTCAACACTAACAATAATACCCAACGGAGATCGAACGACGCTCTCCAAAGCCAATTCGTTCCCCCGATCATCATCCGCAATCCTCATCTCACTTTCCCTCCTCTCTTTATCCAACCCACCCGCAGCGAGAAGAGCCATCTTCCTCATTCTGAAATAATCTTCATGTAATCCACACTCGGTCTTCTCCCTCCCTCTCCACCTCCCACTTCTCTCTCCATCATCCTCTGCACCAGCACCAGCACCAGCACCAGCAGCAACAGGAGAAGCAGGAGAAGCAGAAGCAGTAACACTCCCATCCCCTCCAGCCGAAGCGACGGGAACGCTCTTCTGCGTCGAATGCCAATCACCAACAGATTTATACCCTTGTTTGAGCAACTCGTTCCTCGGAACGTCGTTCTCATCCAAATAAGCCTTGACCTCTTTAAAACTCCACTTTTTAAACGGATTCAATTTGAGCAAACCGGTCGAGTCGATCTCGAGTATAGCCAATCCACTTCTCGCTCCACCTTGACTCGCTCTTCTGCCGGTGATGATCGCTCTGACGCCTAATTCTCTATAAGCTCGTTGAGCAGGTTCGACTTTGACGAGGTAATCGTACAAGGATTCGTTGGTTTCCCAAAGGTGTGTACCGTAAAGGGATTCGAATTCGGAAGGGGAGGAACAGTCGAATGGTTGGTAGGTGTAGAGAGGGGTTTGTGGGTATCTTAGGTGAACTTTATCTCTGAGGTCGAGGGTTTCGGTGAAGTGGTAGAGGGTATCGAAGAAGATGAGGGGTGGGGGAGAAGGGGTTAGTTTTGAGAGCATGTCTGTTCCGGCGAGACCTGTTAGGCCAAAGGCTAAGGTGGTGGTGGTGGTGGGGATTATGAGTTGATAGAATGGGGGGAGGGGAAAAGACGATAAGACTTTGACGTACCCGTTGATTGGTATAACCCTGGAAGGTTGTGCACACCCCATTGGAGGATTTCTTGAGGGCTGAGCGTTTCCAAGTGAGAATTTATTTCCTCTAGCTCGTCGGGGGTGTATACGGGGGGAAGTTGGACGATCTCTGTGGCCGGAGAGGATGATTCGGAGGTAAAGGCAGAAGAAGAGTACGCGACCATTGTGTTTTTTGTTTTGTTTTTGATGGGAACTAGAGGGTGTGATGAGAACGAAGGAGATGGCGTGGCTTTTTTTTCTAGCGTAAGGGAACGGGGTTATAAAAAGAAGATGAAGTGGCGGGAAGTAAAGTAAGCCGGTTGTTGGAGTGGATGAGGAGATATGACCGGGGTTGATAGGGAATAATATTATGGTCCCCTTTGCATGGTGTTGATTTGTTTGTGAGGCCGTGTATTCAAATAATCTCACTAACGACATGGATCGCAAGAATGGCGTGCTCAAGAGGTTTTTTTTGGAACCGAACCGAGGGAGCAAATCCCGAACTTAATTGGTTCTTCCATCTCGGGAAATTGGCTTCTCTATTCAATCCTTTTTTTTTCTTTGATGGCACTTTCCGCAAACCGTGAGAAATGCCATTGGTAATACTTAAATGCTGATGCGGATTATTGATGTGGTGTAGGCAAGGGTACCAACCTCCAGATGTAGTGGAGGTTTGGTGGAGTTGTGAAAAAATCTGATTCATGCGTTTCTGTTTCATTGCTGACAGTTTGAATTGGGGGGGGGGGGGTGTCGGGTTACTGATCCGCCAACGTGGCGTCATCGAAAGCTCCCTCGATTTATACTCTGTCGCGTAAAGTACTTATGTAGTAAGTATAGTACTGTACTGTGATATCGCAGGAAAAAAACCGCTGCGATATCGGCGATTGCCGTTCATTTCGCTTTGCACAACCATTTCTCGAGCTGTTACGCAGGATCCCAACAGTATCCTTACCCATATACATAGCCAGAGGCAGCTCGGAATTCCTTCAAGGAGGGGTCTAGTTTTCTCCCTGCAATAATCGTAGCAAGCCACCTTCAGGGTTACCACGTATATATGCCTCACGTAAGGCCAGGACTTCATGGACTGCGTCATCGCGACCCAACGTTTTACTAAACCAGTTTGGGTTGGGCCGCTGAGGGGTGTGTTACCTAATTATGCTCAAGCTTCGTTAGGTAACGGGGAGCCCGTTTTCTGTGTGTCTGGCATTTACCACTTTTGGTCGTGTGTTATTGCTTTTCAGCCCAAAGGAGCTTCCATGTTCCATTCTGGAACCGAAGCCTGGCAGTGAGCCCTCATGACTTGGGGCGGTGAAATTTCCAATCATTCGACTTCTCTTTTGACTAGGTATTTCATGCATGTGGCTGTTATGCATGTGCTCAACCGCCCCGCCTAACGATCTATAGTTGTTCTCGGCATCGACTACATAATAGGGGGCTGGAATGATATGAGAATGTGATATATGCATTCACTCGTGCTATCAATATATGGGACAATCGAGAGAAACACACACTCGTTTGTCACGGTATGACCAATAGTTGTTTGCCCTATCCACGTAACATGTTAATGCGGGTCTTTGGCTGTTTTTTTTTTTGGACTGCCCACTATCCTTGTTCCTTGCCATCATTACGCCCCCCCCCTTTTCCTACAGAGTGCTCATGCGATTATATTAACGAAGGTAATATCACTCTCATTTGTAATCTCACCCCGTTCAACTCCGTTTATGCCGGAGTTCGCGATCGCATCAGGCAGTGGCTTGTCACGTGGCTCTACCTACATAATATTTCAGTACTCTTTCACGCATTCCAAGCCTTTTTGACTCTGTCAGCGCCACAATGAGTATCAAGTGTTAATACTTGGCGGAGTGGTACCATATATCGCACCATAGATCTTCAGCGTTAATGATCCTTTTTGCGATGCTTCCATCGTCTGTTAAAATTTGTGGCGCTGCGTCGGCGCTCAACTTTTTTCTTGGATGGCTGTGATCCATCTTGCCGACGCTTGTCATTTAAATATCCTTTGGTTGTTCGGGCTCGGCGAATCCTGCTGTTTCACTCTTTCTTGGGTGTTTTCGGGGAAAGAATTTCTTGCTCTTTATTCCCTATTTAGGGAATGATGGAGATAGTTCCGAGGGGTGTGGCGTCGTGCATGCATGGCCGTACCTGTGCCACTGACTACGACCAACTCACCCTCGTGCGCGCGCGCGAGGATCGACCAGCACCTCAGTGATTCAGTATTGCGTGGGATTCCGCCATTTGCATTCTTCGACTTATCGATCTTCGCATCTCTGGGAGCCGTTTCACACAGCAAGATGATTGTTCCAGTCCTTATGAACGGTACCGGTAAGCTGTCGCCAACGGCTATGTGGGACGCGCGCGCTAGTACAGCTATTAAATGCTTGTGAATAGCGCTAAACGGGATGATTCCATTCCCATCCGCAAATCTATTTAGCGACGGCGTGCGTTGGTAGTCCTTCTAGGTACTATGGACACTCTGGCATCTTTCCTCTAGTCTTGGGGGTCAGGCCAACATTAAGTGATAGTAAGATGAACTCATGGTCTTTTGCGGCGCTCGTGTCATTCTCGTTTTTGCATCTCACTCGGATCAAAATAGTACGCCATTAATATTAATGGCAGAGTTCGGGTCAGTGACAGGTTTCAATTTCATACGCCCTTGTTACGGCTCCACTTCGCAGGCTCCACTTCACAGGCTCCACTTCACAGGCCCCACTTTACAGTTTTTCACACGCTCAGATCATTTTTGAACTTGGTGTCGGTCAGCGTTATTAATAAGTATCGATAACTCGGCGGACTCGAAGTGCAAACCAAAATATTCGTAAACAGGCAGCATTTTCATGCCTTCTAATATGATCCAACTTGGAGAGAGTCATCGCGCGATCGCCTGTTAACAGGTAGTGCATGATCGTCGCTAGCTTCAATGTGTCATCCGAGTCTTGGGGGCGGCACAAACTATTTGTTAATTTAACAATCCCATGCCATCTCGCTGGGTTCCTCTCGATCAGGGCGGCCTTGAAACTCACTGCGCTGATTTAGCCTTACTGTGTAAGGGTGTACTGGAATGGGCTTCAGGACTTCGATGGAATCTGCATATAGGGTGCAGTTTCTAGAAACTACGGAGGCCATTTCGTTCTCTTCACCCTACCGGCTCACCCAGATCAGTCCTAGTCATCAACACACATGCTACAGTACTTCTGCGCGCGTTGGGGAGTTGAGTTTTCCCGGCCGCGCTAAAATAATGGCGTTGGGAAAAAAAAAAAAGGCGATCAAATTGCCGCGCGCGTGTGCGCGCGGGGTGCCATCGACAAATCGATCGATCATGCGCTATTGGGCAGGAGATTTTTTTCTCTCAATCACGCCTTTTTCATTTACGGTGTGAATGATGCTTTTGCGTTGCTTCTATTGTTCCTTCATATTCTTGCTATACACCATTGAACTTGTTGACCCCCCCCCCCTCCAAAATAAGGGTTGTTGCGACAAAAGCAAGGATACGATCTTGACGTCGCCGTGCATCTAATTCTTTGAGTGAATTCGACAACTGGCTGGCGCGTTTCTACACATCAATTATTAGTCCCTCCTTTGGCTAGTACACGGACGCTGCCTTGTGAGAGGCGTAGCATGGTGGATCCCGCTTCTTTCTCTGGCTTGCTATTCGCTCTTCAAGTAAACTCGACTTCACACCCTTAATTCAGAGGATGATCAAGATGATATCTAGGAGGGCGTCCTATTCGAGTTCCAGTGCATGTACCACAAACCAACTCCTCACACACCCGCGCGGGATTTGATCACTGCCTCAGTGTTTAGATATTCTCCGAGTTCCACAACCATCCTCACACAGTTTTTTTTTCGATTACCATCCGTAGCCATGGGATGTATATGCCAAGGTCTGCTGTTACTTGTGACTAGCACTGAAATCCTGTCTTTAAGATGGGTCGGAAATCAATCTAGTACCACTTCTAAACCGAATTGTACGGAGCAACGCCTCCAACTTGTGAAACTATGAGCATTCTTGATTTATAACCCCGGGGGCCGGTAGAACTGAGGTCTCGTTCAGTTGCTTTCTTGCTTCTGAGCGGTGTTCATTCGATTCCGAGGAAACAGAACCAGCTTCTCCTTGGCTTTCCCATTTCATGCCTCAACTGTCATGTCAGGGAACATTCGTTCCGCGTTCCGAGTCGAATAAAATGTCGGAGAACTAATTATACATAATTATACAGACACTCAGGCTGGACGTCGGCGGGTCGATGATGTCTACCCAATTCGCCACCAAGTCCGCAGGCCAGGATACACGATAAGCTTCTCCCTGTAAGGTGCCCTGTTTCTGTCCATTGTTGGGCGCTTCCTTCCGCCAGCGCTCGCTTGGCGCGCGGGATACTCATTAAACTTCCGACTGAAATAGGCAGGATCCCAGCCTCTACTAAAGTGGACGACTGAAACCCATTGCACCAAGGCTTGTACGAACGGCTCGAGGTGCTTCTTGGATCAGAAGAATTAGTTGTGTTGTATGGCGTCCCATCTACGTTGGATCGAAGTCGAAATAAGAGGTTTTCATTAAGTATCGTCGCTCGCTATAATTTAGGGGGGGCGCGTTAGCTTTTCGCATTGGATAATTAATATCAAGTATGGGTGCTGTAGATATTCCCATTCGGTTCCTCATTGGACAACGCTTGTTGAACTAATCAATGTCAGTCCTATTTATGGTTGTTTGCTGTCGCCTGAAAGAATGAATCACTGAATCAGTACATCACTATCGATCATCGATACAATTGCCCTTCTGGAACAGCTTCGGTATTGCATAGGCTTTGAGCTGGTCACATGTATAGCCTATCTATCATCTATGTCCCTACCGTTTTTAGTGTAAACGCTCGGCTTGCGATGGGCGGCCGTAGTCATTTCCATCATCAACGTTGCCTTAAGATCCGGATCTATACATGTGGTTATGCTGCGCACCCTTAGGCGTCTGTTCATAGTGTCCCCAACCCTACTACTGAGGTGACCACGCGATGGACCGCCGTAACTATTCTTCCATGGACGTCGTCCCCCATAACCATTCCACATCTGAAATGATGGTGACGATGAAGGATCCCAACCGCCACAACCGCTCATTGGGTCGTCTCCGCGAGGAGATAGTGACATTCGAGAAGGAAGGGATAAACAATCTATGTGGACCGAACGGACAGTCTTCCGCTCGCGCTGTGGGACACGCGCCGAAATTGATGGGGACCTTTAACATTGTGCTGAAAGGCATTTACACGCCGCCACAAGTCAATAATGCATATGGCCAAGGCTATGTACAGGGTGGGATGTTTGAGGTTTGCATCAAGGTGTGTCAGCATCAAGTCAAGAAAAAAGACGAAAAGGACGCTTTGGCGCTTCTTAAGGTATTTACGTTTTCCATTCCCAAAGAATCTGTCTCTCCCCCTTTCCTCCTCATTGCATCTGTCCGTCGTTTACTGATATTTGGTGGTGCATTTTCTATCCCACTCCTCTACTTTCCGCTGGTAGACATTAAAGCAAGACACCGAGTTGTGGAGTCGTTTAGACCATCAGAACGTTGTTCGTTTCTACGGGTGGACAGTTTCATTAGGAAACGATCGAACTCTCCACATCGAAATGGTTTCAGAGTGGTGCAATGGAAGGGATGTCAAGCAATTTCTCTCCGAGAATCCTCATGTCGACCGGGATATTATAGTGAGTTTATTAAATGAATGAGTGGCTTTAGTCTTGTCGAGGTTAAAGGGATTTCACAGGTTGCTCAGATTGCGGATGGTTTGAACTACCTTCATGATTGCAACGTCATCCATGGGGATATCAGGCCTGTCAGTTATCGCCCACGCACCCGTCATTATCGGTAGAATTTGAACCTATTCCTACAGAAAAACATTCTCTCAGTAAAATCTCATGGAGGTTTCTCTGTCAAGCTATGCGACTATCGTCTCTCGACGATATTCCACGAGTCGCCTATTTTCTTGGAAATTGCCACGGTTATAGGCTGTCTTCGATATGCATCGCCAGAATTGCTTATCGGCAAGGCGCTCGATAGCCGGAACAAAATGAGCGATGTCTGGGCGTTTGCCTGCACTGCTGCTGAGGTGTGTGCGAGCAACTGGTCACGACTCGGCTTGTGCTGACATTCGGTACAATAACGGTACCAGATACTCGAGGGCGAGACACCATACAGCTGGATTGGGCGTGATACGAGCGTCCCACAAGCGGTCATTGGAAAGGTGTTGCCTTTCGACTTCAAAGGCGGGAATCGTATCAGGGGAGCCATCCAACGTTGTGTCGAGTACAGCCCGAGGGATCGGCCATCGATGAAGGAGGTGATGGAAAAAATCAAGTACGTAACGTTTTCCCCGATCTACGCACAAAAAAATTCAACCAAGCGGTGCAGTGAGCATTACTTCCAGCAGAAGAACAAACAAGTAGCGAAGGTGACGCCGTGGAATCTGCAAATAAGGGATGACTCTGTTCTGCAGCAGCGTAATCTCAGCAGGCCCAACAATTATGGAAGGCTTGCCGATGACATGGGGTACATTAGTCAACAGAGGGTAGATCCACGGATGATGGGACGTCGGCCAATGACGGGAGAACATCGTACGGATGACCTCAGGGGAGCGGGACAGCAAAGAATGATGGACGCACCAAGAGGAAGGATGCCACATAAGGGGACCGCGGATCACACAATTCACAGACAACCAGAGATAGTGAATCTTGACAATTATGATGACGAATAATTAATAAACTATCATACCGTGACCTGCTACACTCTAGAAATACTGGATATAAAGATGTGCATGACACCTTGGATGTTGCCGTCCAAGTTGCGATTGATACATGGCGCGCGACTAGTGACCTTAAAAGTAAAGCGAGTTGTTCCCTTGACCAGCTCAAGCCATGAGTTGCCATGTAGAATGAACAAACGGTCATGACCGATGACACAAGAGTCCTTGATGGCTCCTTAATCCAGACATTGTGAACCGATATACGATTATCAAGTCCAGTTTTGGTAGTGTGTAGTTCTTCTGCAGTGCGCATCCCTCCCGAAATGGATGACTCTTCGGCAGTATCCGTTCCCAAAAATTCCTAAGCGCTGGGTCTGTGAGCTTCTTTACCCCGCCCTCTGCAACCAATAATGGGGAAAGGCTCTCAGCTCACTAAGCTCAAAGCAGCGCTATCTCAGTCTGGTCTGGCTGGAAATCAACAGCCGAAGGGATCGAAGAAGCGAAAACGTTCAGCAATTGGCGGCCATGACGTTGCTGCCGAGAAAGCGAGACGGGAAAAGAAATTAGAAGAAATCAAAAAATCTGTTGATGTTAGCCCCTTCGATGTGAAAGTGACGAAACTTAAGCATGAAGTGGGTGGAAGGAAGGTGAAAGGTGTTATTGGTCGGCCCGGGTTAAGTAAACAGACCGGAATGGAGCTTGTAAGTGGGTGGTTTTCCTAATGAACGGGTCTTATCTCGTACACGTTCCCTCCTATAGAGAAGGAAGAAACTTTTGGCCGAGTTCGAGAAGAAGGATCGTGCGGGAGGGATAGTTGACCGTCGGTTCGGCGAGAACGATGCGACATTGGCTCCTGAAGAGCGTATGCTCGAGCGTTTCACCAAGGAACGCCAGAGAGCGTCAAAAGGAGTTAATTTCAACCTTGAGGATGATGACGAACAGCTTACACATTACGGGAGGAGTCTTGCTGCAGTTGATGACTTTGACGCTGAAGGACTTGGGTTGGACGACGAGGATGGTGATCTGCGTGAGTTACTCCCTTGTCACGGTGCTAGTTCCCTACTCTGAGGTCCTCTCTAGTTGTGCGTGCCCCAGATGGAGATTTACCACTTCGGACTCGTTCCGGTGCGCCTGGCGACGAGGACGAGGGTGATGGCGTGGTGCGCTGTGTTGGCTTATTCATTGTGGTATATTACCGATAACAGTCACCCCTCAGCATCCGAGAAAGAAGTCGAGATCAGAAGTTCTGTCTGAAGTTATATCGAGGAGCAAGGAGCACAAGGTTCGTGACACAAAATCACATGAATCGTCATGTCTCTGATCGAGCAGCTCCTTTGTAGTATCTGCGACAATTAGCTAAAGAAGAAAACGATGAGATGCGTGAGGCGATGGATAAAGAATTTTCTGACATTCGCAATTTGCTATTTGCCTCAAAGCCCGATCCCCAAGCTAGTGGAAGCAACGCCACTCCACTTGGTCCCATCCGTAAAGCAGGTCCTGTCATGACGAAACAGGCACCGCCGGACTCTGCTGTACTCACATCCCAGACCCCGCTGGAGGAAAACCCTGTTGGCGACGATGGCGATGACGACGACGCACAATATGACAAACTTGTCCATGAGCTTGCTCTGGATAAGCGCGCGAAGCCCAAGGATCGTACGAAGACCGAAGAGGAGATCGCAGCTGACGAGGCCGAAAAGCTTCGGAAAGCTGAAAAAGCGCGACTAAAGCGAATGCTCGGTGAGGACGACAGTGAGGATGATGCCGAAGTACGCGGAGGATACAAGAAACGGCGGCGACCTCAAGCTGACGATTTAGAAGATGACTTCTGTCCGAGTGATGATGATGATGATAACGCTTATAATCTTGGGAAAGGGTTGGGGATCCAGCCCCACGACAAAGCTGATTCTCAGGAAGATGGCCAGGATGAAAGCAGGTCTGCAATATCGGAGAGTGGCGGAGAAGATGAATCCGATGATTATGGGGAACAGAACAGTGCCGTGCAAGGCTCTGACGATGAAGATGAGGCCGAGGCTTCTTCACAAGCTTCTGACAAGGAGAAAATAGGAGGGAAGGAGAACGAGGGGCTTCCCTTCACCTTCCGTTGCCCGACCACCCATGATGAGTTCCTGGACATTGTTGAAGGGATCGACCCCTCCGATCTTTCAACAGTTGTTCATCGTATTCGTACCATATACCATCCCAGCCTAGCAGAAGGAAATACTCTAAAACTAAAGGTGCGTGCGTGGTTCTTCCTTCATCCTCTCCAGCTTAGGAGTATTTGTAGACTCTCGTCGGCATCTTGATCGAACATAGGTTACACGCTGCAGCTTCCACATCTTCGTTCAGTGCTGCTGCCTCCCTCGAACCCCAAATCATCTCACTAGCTAAATCATATTCCATCGAAGCTGCAACGGCCATCCGGAGTAAACTTGTCTTGATGCAGAAGAATCTCATGCGTGGGCTTGCTCGCGGCGCTACTCAAGTGGAGTCAAAGACGTTTCCTGGAGTTCGGGAGTTGGTCCTGTTGCGCTTCGTCGGGGAGGCTTGCTCGACGAGTGATAAAAAGCATCCCGTTGTGACACCTGCCATGCTTCTCATGGGGCAATACCTCTCGCAAGGCCGAGTCCGTCATTTGAGTGACCTTGGGTCCGGTTTGTTTCTGTGTACCCTTTTTTTTAATGTAAGTGTTTCCCCCACATTCACTATTCCGCCTTCAAGGTCCAGTAACACACGGTTCAATAGTATCAACGTTTATCTAAACGCCTCATTCCTGAAGCCATCAACTTCCTCATTAATTCCCTTCTCCATCTTTCCCCTCATACATTTGCAGAAGCACCCAGATCCGTCAACTTCCCCCCTTTACCTGACTTCAAACTTCACACAAAGTTACGGCTCGGGCTGGAAGCAGCGCATAACCTGACTCCTGGTTTGCCGAACCTTGAAGCATGTTTACTCCTTGTTGACCCTGACTCGCAAAGCAATGAAGTAGAGCAGCACAAGCTCGACCTCCTTTCCCTGACATATACCCTCCTGTTACAATTTGCGAAACTATACGTCGACCTTGATGGTTTCGCCGAGCTTTTCGAACCTGTTATGACCATCACTGAAAAAATCTCGAGTGCTGAATTTTCTGAAAAGCTGTTGGTGCGTCTAGTCCAATTCACTGGCTGCTGCTTTTTTCAATATCGATTCGTTCTCTGTAGGCATCTCACACGGCATGTTGTGATGGAATTTCTCGCATGATAAAATTTGCCACGGAAAGCCGCAAACCTCTCACTCTGCAATCGCACAAACCTATTCCGATCGCGACATACGCTCCTAGCTTTGAAACTGCTTACTCCTTCTCGAAACACGATCCCGACCCTGACCGCAACGAATCTGCGAAGCTCAAGGCATTGTACCGTAAAGAATTCAGGGGCGCTATGCGTGAACTGCGGAAAGATACTAAGTATCTGGCCCTTCAGAAGGCTAAAATGCAAGCTGAGAAGGATGCAGCTTACAAGAAGAAAATGGCACGGCTTCATGGTGGGATTCAGGTCGAGCGAGCTGAGGAGAAGCGGTATCTGCGGGATAAGGCCAAAGAGAAGAGAAGATCTGGGAAAAGATGATTTTACGTGTGTTTGCATGGCACTTGCCACGGATATTAGTTCAGAGTTTTTGGTATTGTTTCGTATTGATCGATTTAATTTGACATTTGGAGCCTCGAGCGGAACGTTGGGGTTTCATGGAATTTTACCATGTTAGGAACCATTTTCACGAAATCACAGGCCATCATCTGAGAGGCTTGTCGCCCCCTCTTGATAGCTGTATGCAGTATGTATGTATAATTCACATGCTGCGTGCACCAGCATTTCCTTTCATTTCCGTACTACATGTTCACTCATCTGGGATTGTTGGCTTGATACAACGGTAATTAAGATACATTTTCATTCAATTCCGCTCTCTTTGCCCGTTAAACATGACCCGCCCGCTTTAATTCACCTCCACCTTCGCTACCAGCATGTTCAGTGCTAGTCATGTCAAGTGCAAATTCATGCGCACAGTATTGCATGGTTCTGGATCCACGCAAGTCCACAATAGAACACTGATCTCAAAACTGAAAACACACATCATCTTGCAGTGATATAATGCACGCGACGGATCCTTAGGAGTCATTAGAACTAGTGACTAAAACCCATGTCCTCTCTCTCATCGAAGGATCCTTGACACATTCCCTGATGAATCTTTCATCTTTCTTGAGGCCTTTCATTATGTGGCGATCAACGAGCCAATCAACCCTGAGAAAGTATTGAAGAGTCAATGAAATGGGGCAGCAAAGTTGAGGGAAGAACTGGCTACCTTTTGACCCCTTCATCCGTAAATCGAGCCTTCCTCAAGTTAAGTTTAAGGGTGGCGTCGCAGTTCTGACGTGCTTGTTCCCCGACTCTAATTATAGATGAACTTCAATTACCAAACAACCGCGTTGAAGGCGAAAGCAAACCTCCGACGAAAATCCTCTGTTAAGTCCTGCCACTCAAGCTGGGTGGCACTCACATGGAGGGCCTATAATAATGGAATAAACACATGGGTATAGACGACAGGCTAGCGGACCGCACTTCATGTACTGCTTGAAGGACATCCCCGATGGTCACTGCCGCAGAGCTTTTCGGGTATTCTACGTCAATTTCCCAAGGGAACTTCTTGCTGATAATCTTCATACTGGCGCAGGGCGGATATGTAGCATCGGCTCTTAAATACTCATCACCTAAAGCCATTCGCCGGGGTCGGGTGTTCAGAGACGCATATTGGGGATATTCGCGGATATCGTAGTGAATGGTGACATCAGGAGATTGCTTGCGGTGCCCGCGCGACTGATGTGCCGGGTCAAGGACATGATGTAAGGAATATGGCCGGTTTTCCGTCCCCCCATTCGCGTAGGGTAAAGCAGCCCAACGGAGCGCCGGGTTTCCTCCATTGGGCACCCACCACTGAGGGTAAACGCTGGGGCATCCGTAAGTTAGGGATTCTACACCAACGCACTGCGAGACAAACCGGTTTGGAGGGTTGCTAGCGGGGACTAAAGGTATCTGGTGATACGCTTGTACATTAGGAGGATTTGCTGGCGCTGCATACGCAGGATTGAGAACAGGCGCCGGAACGAGTCCGTAAGGTGCAGCCAAGACCTGCCCGGGAAGAGGGACTGCTTGAGCCCAATATGCCATTAAAAGCCTTTTCGGTGCGTAGAGGCAGCATGTACCAGGTGAGTCATAGGCACGTCGACCATTTGTGGAGACGTACAAACAGGAGGGTTTGCAAATGTGTCGCTAACAGCAGAATTTATGCCCAGCGCGAGGGGCCGTGGACTGCACCACCTCAGGGATGGGTGATAAGCACAGTACGCCAGAGAACCTTATGGACCTCAAATGGGAATATATACGGCACGCAACTCCAATTGGCTCGTGATTATTCTCACGTCTGTCGGAACGCAGGGAAAAATCGGATGCTTCATGGTACTATGAAAGCGCCCACTAGACTCCAGCGCCATAGAGTGGCGCTTCCATTTAAGGCTTTGGTATCTGTCATCTGGAATACTTTCTCAATTGGAGGGGCGTGTTAGAAGTCACATACAGAGGTCTGTGACAAACACTGAACGCAACGTGTTGGAAAGAAGGCATAACTATATAGTTGATCTGAATTCTTTCTCAGGTTCCTATTACAGGTATACGCCCCGTATATCAGGGCCCCCCGCGCGTCAAAGGATCAATCCAGATGGCTGACCTCCAGAATCGGCACAGAGGACACAGTATTGTGAATGTCAATCCACACATTCCCAGGTCATCATCATGTGAGAGACGACCTCCAGAGTGACGACCCTTCGAGTCGTACATACGCGACGGGCAGGCCCGTTGAAGAACCCCAAGCGGGAAGGTGCAACAAGGAATATCAAAATCAAACGAGCCCAATCAATCAACATGTGTTAGCTGAGATATTACAACTGAATTGCGCTCAAATAAATCCGGTACGGCTGCGTGTTTGGACAGTATTTGGGCAGTACTATTAGGTATGCAAGTGGCGACAGAAAGACGGTTATAGACGGATGAGACCGAGCACAGCCTGAACCATGAATTACAGGATGCGAGAAGACGGAGAATGAACTGGGCTTGAAAAGGTCATCTTTGCACGAAGGGCTGGTCGGATTTGTTGTGCCGTTCTCGATCCTATGTCTCGTTCAATCATGATGTCGTTTTCCTGCGGATGTGGGGGATACACAGTCAAGAGACTTTTCAAAGCGCTGGCGGTAATGTAAAAATCACAATGTCCGCAGCAGTGCCTTTTGGAAGCTTGGCGTGACGGAAAAAGCGCGGTCACTTCCAGTGCCAGAAGCCGACCCAGAGGAATGCCCCTGTCAGTAAGGCCTGCGCATTTCCCAGAAAGATGAACAGAACCACGACCGGATAGTGGACAGCCGGCGCCAGATACAGCCGGACTTGCATGGAACTCTGTTGCACAAGAGGTTGAGGGTGCACCACGAGAGGATCCCTTCGACGTGGCAACACGAGACTGTCTATTGCATACATCAAGTCACATGTTAGGGAGATCAACTGTATTTACAATGTACATCTAAATCCCTTGCAAGCTGCAAACCAAACATTGTTGGAAATTGATGCGAGTCACCGGAGATACCCGGGGCGTATGTGGAGGATTTTGCTAAGCGCGAAGCGCGCACGGGAGTTACCTTATGTAGATTTTCCTCTCTGTTCATTCCTTTGTATATATGCGCACGGACAGTAACCCCAAATCACTAGTTATATTTCCCGCTTCTATCTTGCATCTGTGCTACGAATGACCCGCTGGGAGACGCGTTGCCTTATCTGGAACGCCGTTCATTATACATATATACTTTTACTCCATTCTGCACGGCTGCTCGATGGTGGGTTCTAAAGTTCTCTACAAGGGATGGGGTTCTAGGCTTGGAGCCACGTCAAGTGGGTACAGTGTTTACTGTCTGTGGCCCTGGCCACATTGGCGATAACTGTGGCCCAAACGTAAAGTGAAAACACAGGCATTAAATGATTATTATAAGTTCGTAAATTCATTATATCAGCGAGTCATTAACGATCTGTCACAGGCCCACAAAACTGTCATTGTGTCCGTTCGCATTCATGTTGATGTCAGCACCAGAACCCCAAGAGTTCGAACTAGGCATCTTGGAGACTGAAAGGATGTAATGCGGGGAAGTCCAGCATATTTCCTGTCATACTTCTTTGGGACCGGTGGCCAAAACCCAAGTCCTCTCCCGCTCAGCAGGATCATCAATACGTTCCGCAATAAACTCATCGTCCTTTCGTAAGCCTCTCATTATGTGTTCACCGAGGAGCCAATCGATTCTGTCAACGTTCAGAATGGCAGAATGAGCCGTTTGTCACTAATGCATCAAAATTGACGATTACATACCGCTTTATACCCTCCTGTTCGCGTCGGGGCTTCCTCAGCTTGTGAGCCGCGGCCTCACAATTACGGCGTCCCTGAGAAATAATCCTAATTTAAGGGATAGGAGTCAGTACCCCAGACAAGTAGGCTCAGCCAGAGAGCAAATGCGTACCTTTCCCGCCTCTCATCTGTCAATATCAACCATTCTGGACGGGTCACATTCATATGAAGGGCCTAAACCAAGGTTAAGGCTGAGCGTGGCTTCCACGGAACAACAGTAAAACGTACATCATGCACCGCTTGGAGGACATCTTCAACGGTAATCATGGTCGTAGCATTTTCACTTTCAACGTTGATCTCCCAAGGGAGATTTTTGATAATGATCTTGAGTCTGGTGCAGTAGGGATAGGTGGCTGGGCCCCTCAGGTCTTCCCTATTCGCAAATTCTCGAGCGGGGCGGGTGTCAAGAAGGGCGCGGCGAGGGCTATCCCGAATGTCGTAGTAGATGTTGGTCTCCCTCCGCAACTTGCGTTTCCACTGCGTCTCAACAGGTGCATCCAAAACGGGGTTCAGTTCCACGGAGTGTATTTCCGGTTTCGGGAGAGGTGCAGGAATCGGTGGATTGACTATCCCCCACTGGGGCAGGAATCTGGACAATAAATGAGGTGACATGCCTACACGTCAAACCTTTTTGTTTCTGCATACCCGTTTATATTTGCCCCAGGTTGAATGAAATTTATCGGTCGATAGGGTTGTCCGTTAGGGACAAATGTTGGGGCCACAAATGGATTGTGGACAAGTTCGGGGATCAGTGGTGTTACAAATTGGCCCGGCGCTGGGTAAGGGAGATGTCCTCCAGGGGCAGCTAGAAATTGTCCAACTGGAGGCCGATAATTCGCTTGATTTGACATTCTTGCAGTGTTTTGGACGGCGAGCGTATTGTCTTTGTTCATCGCAGAGGATAATTAGTGAGGGAAACCATGTGAGTCATCGTGCAGATGATACCTAACAAGGCGGAAGAGCAACGAGTAAGAGAGTTCGACAGTGGACCACCCCGTTTGTCGAGATCCAGACATTTATATAGATCAGGAGGCTGGAGTGTGCCGCGGACACCCACACCCAGTGGAGCTCAATGCCGCGCTTTGCGCAACTGCGATATGATTCTCTGGCTTAATGAGTGCATCGCCTTGAGTGAATTCTTGCTCATGGCGTAAGATTTGACAGGCCCGGACTGAACAATACTTCATGTCCAAACTCGCAGCACAGGGGGTGTATATTAATGTCAACAGGGGGCAGTAGACGCCCAACCCTTTCACCGCCATTGATTACACATTTGTGTCACTGCCTCTCACTGTCAAGCGAAGCGGGATTATGTAATCCGGTCGCATTGGATGTCATACAATGGCGCTGACTCGAATCTCTATCTTAGGCTAAGGGACAGCACAGCGAATTAGACAGGGGCTGAGGGTTAGGTGGCTTATTTCGTTCATCTACTACTATAGCGTCGTATGTACTAACAACTCACCGTGGTGTTCCTGAGAAGCGACGATTGTCAGGACGGGGTTCTCCCGAACCCGGCTGGAAATACTAAGGAGTTTGCAAGTCTATCCTTCATTCGACGATTGAAGCTAGACACTAGGTCGCTTGGCACCAAAACCACCAGAAGCAACAGCCGGGCAACCTGAAGGAAGTAACATATGACAAAGGTTGGATGTGGAGCCTCCTGACGTGTAGCACAATGTTTAAGATGACTGTAAAAGGATATAAAACCCCGCGCGCTTAGCAGAGAAGAGCCTTAGAACCTGCGGTGTATTAGGCATTGTTCATCAATTGGCTTATCTTTAGGAGTACGTTAGAATTAGTAAGGGGTCTTGTTTGTGGTGCCACATGTCAACGGGTGCGCGTGTTTTATTGGGTAAGACGAGATTGCAGGTTGGAGCCATGGTAATTGCCGATTCACACTGGGCGTTTGGACTCAAGCCCAATGGCCTTTGAATGGCATTCGTCCACTTTGCTCTGATAACGCGCTCTCTCCCGCGATAGCCCGTTCCAGTTGGGGCCGTCCGTGGAACAACAATCAAGCGGGCATTTGTAAATGTGCTTCAACGTTGATCCCATCAATTGCAGGTGTGAAAGAGATACCCCGCTGTACGTATGTTGTAAGCGGGAAGTTCATTCATGTCCGTAAGATCGACGAAGCTCGAGGAAGCCTTGTACCAGTCGGGCATGATCGGATCAGCCCCGCCGAGAGCACAACTTATTCACACTGTGCGAAAGTGCGATGGTTGGAGGTCCTCGTGATTCATTAGTACAGCAATCGCTAACAAGTTCACGTCCGAAAAAGCAGCCATGAGGTGGGATGGACTCGTGCCACAAGAAACGAACAAGTGATAACCATGGAATAACAGCACTTCCAAGAGTGGATCATGTACAGAATGTTCTAACAGAAGCGCCACCAAGGCATGAACGCTACAAAAAGAGATCAGGGTGCCGAGCATGAAGAAGCACGGTGTTCGAATATCACGCAAGGGGGCGCCCGTCCACACTGAAGTGATACCCCATTCGTAACGCAAACATCGATTTACAGCTACGAATCGACTAGATCCAAAGATAATTTGGTAAAGCCAATTTTCACGGTAACTGGCAGTATTCGTGTGCTTAGAATGTGTCGCTGGCACAGTGAAGCCATACGAGACATAATGCTAGCGAGAAGAGCTGGTTGCTCGAGCCCAGAATGTCACGATGTTCTGCCAACGAGCACTCTGCTGGCATATCGAACTGCTGGAATTCCCTGAAAAGAGGCCAAGGGTAGGGTACAATTATGATCCCATTGACTGGGAACAAGTTAACTTCCAAAACGGCATACAGTGATACTGGAGCCAACGGCGCGGGTCTTGGTTCCAAGCCACCAAGTGTTGGGTTACTGGATGCCTTGGCACGAACAGAGAGCGTCGAGGCACGGATTACTGGTGTGATGAATAAGTCAGCAACAATATATTTGAATGATACTGGGCGGCATTGTCAGGGTCCGCATCGCTGCTCAGTGCACGACCAGCCTCCGCGGGACATGCTCATAATACTGAGAGTGGAGCGCGGACCCGAACCACACCGAGTAAACGAGAAAACGCCCTTGCAGACAAACCGACCAACCCCGACGCGACGGTCCGGAGCAAGACCGTCGGAAAGGGAAGTTCCGTGCGAACCAAGCGCTTCATTTTAGCCCTACAGCGACTTGCTCAGCCTACCGTTGAGGTACGCAGGGCTTAACATATGGATTCCAATAGACTTATAGATGCGTATGGGCATTCTTCTGGACCATCATTCGTACTTGAAGCTGACCTTCCGTTCGTACTCAGACAATTTGACCGGGCTGTCGAAATCGTGCAGGGGTTAGATGTTTCTGGGCTGATTCATGACAGGGAGTCTCATTCCTATATTTCATAATGTAGCCTACCGAAAACTGGCCCCATCCAAACTGGCTATGAAGAGAAACTGGCACTGTACAGGTGAGTGAGTCATCGTGGAGATGCATAAGTGTACTGGCACCATCTAAGCATGGTTCCGCGGGGAGCGCTGTAGTCTGTATAAACAAGGTTGGTCCCCGATATGCACATTATTTTCAGCATGCTCATTGGAATGTTTTTCCAGCTACGGTTGGGAATGTAAAGCAATCTCGACCAGGCATGTGGGATATGCTCGGACGAGCCAAGTGGTGAGCAGCAGCGTTGAGTCCTGCGCGTTCTGCCACCTTAGCTCTGCTTCAGGGATGCTTGGGCCAGACAAAAGGATCTCGGTTCTGCTGAGGCAAAGTGGCACTACGTCGAGACTCTTCAAAAGGTCAGCGCATCCTCCTGACGATAGTTTCCATGTCGTAACGCCGAGAAACAGATCTTGAGAAAGTACCCCGAGTCCACGACAGCCCGGGATCTCAGCAATGAGCTGGCGTCCTTCAGTGGGGATCCTTCCAATCTTGTCATCAGCGGTGTGTATTTCGAACCTTCATCACGACCAAACATCGAACTGGATTCCATTAGCTCGCACTTCAGCTCAGGAACGTGAGTCTTCTTCTTCGGCAGGGTCAGAGTCCGACGATGAAGAGGAACAAGTCATTCGCCACCAATTTATGCCGCAATACCCTCGCGACGACGCACAGTCTACCTGGAGATCCATCCCTCAAGAATCATCCGAAGAGGATGGGAATGTCTCAGAAGATGGCCCCAAACCCATTGGTCTCCCCCGCCCGACGTCTGCTATCTCCTCCCAACAACGATACCGCACTCCCTTAGGAGGCATGTCAAGCGGTATGCCCGTTTCATACTCCCCAGCCATCCCACCACCGAACGTCGGCGCCAATTTCCCGATACAGCAACCTCTTCCTCGATACTCTACCCCTTCCGCGTTTTCACCCACAGTTCCGGAGGAATCGGTTGGAACCGGAACACCTAGCATTCCGTCATCTTTCCCAACAACGAATACCAATTCATATGTGCCTGTCCACCCTCAGCAGCACATCCAACCCTACTCGTTTCGGGCCCCGCTCCAACATCCCGGAACTGGTCCACGGACACCGCTTGGTATGCGTCGACCCAGTTCTGCGCGACCACAGCTTGAGCGGGCCGTGGAGTCAGTTCAGTCATCCCTTGCTGCTCTTCGGGAGCGTGTGGACACCCTTGAAGGTTCACATTCCAATACATCTCTCTTGCCAGGCAGTCCATCTCCTGTTGGAAATCAAATCAACCACCATAATCTATCCGCCTCGCTACACTGGGACCCAAGCGAGATGGGTCTCTGGTCTGTTATCCTCGTTCCACTCTCGAAGATCTTCTCGAAACTTCAATATCTCTTACTCATTCTCCTCACCCCACCTCCCAAAATGCGTGGCAACACATTACGATCCCTGACGAGGCGGATCGTTCTGGATGCAACGTTCATGTGGGCCTTGTTTCTGGTGCTTCGTTCCGTTTGGAGAAAGACAGGAATACGAAGACGCGAAGTGAACCGGGCATTGAAGCTCGTGATAATTGCCCTGTTAGGTCGGAGGGAGAGAATCATGGTGGATAAAGGCGTCTGATGTACCGTCCTCATTTTGAATCAATCTATCGGAATCTTGTCACTCATTATGTTACACCGATTCGCCGATTATGCTCCGCTTTTCATTTTGATTCAGGATTTATGCGGGTATTAATTAATCATGCTACAATACTTAAGGACCAGCCATGCAGTCGTTGAGGGAATGAACTCCACAGTCACCAGTCTGAATTATCCAATCACCACACGATCAGCCTTGTCCCTGCTAAGCCATCAAGGAAACATTGGGAACATTTGGCCGCCACCTCCATCTTGATTTTGAGTCAGAGCCGTTAGGTTTATTGGCTGCGAAACTGATGCACTGCCTCTATGCATCATAGCCTCGATGGCGCTCAGTGATGCACGCAGCTGAGGGGTATCATAAACTCCATCGGGACCCTGTTTCAGGGATATCATACTTAATCAGCCCAATCGCAATGAAAAAGGTTTGGCTATCGTCACACACTTTAACATAAGTCTCGTACTCTCCAGGTTCTTCGTCAGTTAGTTCCGGTTCCGTCTCGCACAAGCATCGTCCAAGATGTACCGTGTTGCACATTGCGGCAAAAAATATTCGATCCGGATCTCCACATCCATAGAGACATAAATTAACAGGACGGAGGCCATGGTTGAAGTGGCGGTGGTATATAAATCGTTTGATGTAGAACATGGAGTGGTTTACTGGCTTGACCGATACACCGAAAAACGCTACCTTCAGATGTGTCAATGCTTCATTTCTAGGCATCCCAATGAGGCATTCCAGGAAATTATCCATGACATCGACGTGGCCAATGAGCAATAGGTCGGTGATGCGATTCGAGCGGCCCAGCTAAGGAGATAAATCAATAAATATACACCACAGAGATCACATCACACTCACAAAGGCAGTGAACCTGGGCCTCGTGTGCGGCCACAACGTATCTCGCAACAAGTAATCCTCAGTCCACGGTGTTCTGTTCAACGACGCCTTTAAAATCGCATCGTCTACGATTTGACGCCACACAGCCGTCTCTCCTCCATAATATCCATTTTTCTCGCCAGCGCGAATGATGAGGCACTCCAAATTTGGAGCATTCACCATGTCTAAAGCGCACGAAACGGATACGGAGTCGCAGCTGTCGAGTTGCAACAGTCTTAAATAGCGAAGCTGACCGGGCTGTTGTCGTGGATGGATCGCTCCAATCTCCATTTCTACCTTTGTAAATCTCGCTACCTCCAAGTTTCCACATTCTACGAACAAAGTTGCCCACGCATCTGGTCCCCATGATGCTCGATTGACGTCTATATGGGTAAGAACCAATCCGGTAGGACCATAGCTAGAGATAGCTATCTGAGTGAGGTCAAGGCAATCAAGTTCAGGGGCGTCAAGGTCATCGAGGCGGAGATGGGTAGTTGGTGGAAGAGCGAATCGATTTGAACCAAAGACAAGCTTCGAGGGAGGGGAACTTTCGTTTATGAGACGCAGCATATAAAGCCGGGGAACGAGCCACCGAACAGCAGTGCCTCCTCCATGGGTCCAAAGCCATTCACAGTGAGCTTTTCTACATGGGCTTGTAGCGTTCCATCCCGTAGCCATGGTGGGACCACCGGCTGGTGATCAAGGAGGAGGTGACGCAAGTGGTTGTTTCGAGATAAGGAAACGTGCCGCATGGCCATGTCGAGAGTGCGCTCGGAGACTTGAACCTGAACTGACCACAGGAATGCGTGCGAGTGGATGACATGTCGCCACTTTGAACACACGTGGGACAGTACCAATGGAGTAGAAAGTGCAAAATCACCATGTCCTTCATCTTCAATCACAAATTCAAATATGAGTGCGATGACATCGGGAACAAGAATATTGATGGGCGCAAGGGCGTTGTGCAACATGTTTACGCGTGCACCCATTTTAAGCTGGAGGTCTTGAATCTTCTTCGCAGCACCACAGAGACCGTCATGAAGCTGCTTCGCATGCTTCCAGGCTGCAGCAAGTGTGGCTTTGCGGTGATGGGATGGGAATCCTGGTTGATTTTGAAGGAGAGGAAGTAGGTCGCCATGTGCGGTATTAAGGTAATCAGATATTCTCGTAGCAATAGCTTCAAGATCGCGCACAGCACGAGTGAAGTCTTCAATATAGTTAAACATTATATGGTACAATGTATTAGTGTTTTGCTACAATCCATGTTTAGCCCACCGCGCACGATGATGGAACGGATCGCTTACAATTAAGTCGCTAATATAGAATATGGGTAGACTTTCCGGAAGTCAGAGAAGAGAGCAGACCTGAGGTATGACTCAAGTGCTAAAGTCACCATCGTGGAATAATCGACGTTATATATGCCTCAAAACAAAAAAGAATAGATTGAACAGTGTGGCATGGTATCTGGATTCCCTCGTACACGGCGTTGTGCTCGCGACCTCGGCAACCAGAACGAATTGTGGCAAACCTTGCGACAGCACCGCCACCTCCTTGTTTCGCGTCCCCGTTATTTCCGCATTTCTGTTGTTTTCAAATGAACCCCTAATCGTGCAATGCACACCCCTATTAGGCGCTCACCACTCATGATACATGCGGCTTCTCCCTTTGTGATGCTGTTGGGTCATTGTCCGCCCGAGTTGGTAATCAGTCATCCTTTCTAGCACATACACATTTGCGGTTTTAGAGAGCATGTAACTGAGCGAAAGAACTAGTGCATAGGATCCAAGAGAGTTGGCATTCACAGCTTCACACAGGAGTCCGGTATGAGATCGAACTTTGAATCAACGCGATTGTAACCATGCACCAGGAGCTTAGGCATCATTGGGGAGCATCCTTTCCGCATTTTCTTTCTCTGCTTCCTCCTTGGCTATTCTTTCTTCTTCCTCCACGATTTCAACGTCTAGGGGGAACGTCAAAATGGCCGCAATCCCAGATAATTGATTTAATTCTGAGGAAAACAAAATAAATTATCCACAGTCCCCCATCCGATATTGATCCACTTACGTTCCCCGGACTCATGCATGCTTGAGAAAATCAGGACTTCACCTCCCTTCTCTCGGACAGCTTCCACCATCTCCACAAATCGCTTGCGCTGTTTTGGATCGCTCGCTCTGAGCGCGGAGGGTGAGTGCGAGTACAACATAGCGTCATGATAATCCCTACCTAAATAAGTTATCTGATATGAGGAGGGTTCCAACTGCGCCGCGGTCAGTTGCAAGTGACACATGATTGGGCCCATACCACGCCCGTAGCTCGTCTCTCTCAAGCATCTTGAAAAATCTGTCGGATCAGTGAAAGTAAGCATTCAACATTCGGTGTCGAGTCTTCACTCTACCTGTCCAGCATGATCCCTTCCCTGGCGAATTTTGTTTCTTTGAGCTGAGTTGTAATCTGGGGAGTGATATCAACAAAGAGTTCTGGCCACCCAAGCACCAATCCATACCTCCGGGCTTTTCAGAACTTCGACAAGACTGTGAACATGAGGGTTGCTGACGTGGATTCGAACAAACTTGTTCTTCGCCGATAACAATTGCTTGTTCGCCGTGCGCGTCGCCTCTGCGAATATGTAATCGTAGAGAGTATCCTTTGTGAACCCAGGGCTTGCCAAGACAATAACTTTCAGGGTGTTGTATGGAATGTGACGGAGAAGTGCTGAGTAAACTGTGCTGAGGAACCTTGCCATGCCCTATGAACGTGGTGAGTACCGGGGAGGTCCAGAAGCACCAAACCCTCACCTTCTCGTGCAACGTGGCTGACCCTATGCGCTTCCGAGGGACCGGGACCTCGATGCGTTGTCGAACTGTTGTCAAATGTTCCGATAGCAAGCAAATGGCGGCGGTACCTGTAAACCGGACCGATCAGAGTAGCGAATTGACCGCAAAGACCGAGTCGAGCTACCCTCGCCACAAACGATAGCCCCACCTCTGCCCCTCTGCCTTCCACACAAGCCTCTTCCACTCGATTCAATGATATCGAGTCCCATTCTTGTTTCGCAATACGGACGTCGCGATTTGCCTCAAGATCTAGAGTGTGGAACGACCCCATCTTGACATACTTATTTTCAGCAGACACTCTTCCGGAAAGATGCAGGGAAGCAGTTGGCTCGGCAGCTGAGCCCGATGACGCCGCAGCTGCGGCGGTAGAGGACGCACTCGTTGTAGGGGCGGAGGTGGCAGGCGAAAACGTAACTTTCGTCACTTCTAGCGTTAACATCATCTTCATTCGATGCGATTCAACAGAACCAGTGGCTGAAGTCGATTGAACCCGACTGCAAGTCGTCAAGAGTCACGAAAGCCCCGAATCAGCTACGACACACCGAACAGCGGATGCACGGACATCATCCCCCTAAACGATATCGAAGTTTAGCCTTATGGCAGAGGACATAGGGGTTGTCTGAACCTCTTGGACGAGGTTGTAGATGTGCCACATATCCTCATCATCTTCTGGTCTCAGCGTCACGTATCCCTAATAGATGCCTCAGACATAAATGACATGGAACCAAGCTGGGTCGATGTACCGCGCCATCTTTATCGATCCACTTGTTGACGAGTTTCATTTATTTCCTGAGCTTGAACTGATAAATGTGGTATGACAACATGACAATAAATTCGGACAACTCCGCTACAATACGGCTAAGGTCGTGATTAAACAACTAGGACCGATCAGATCAAACCCGAAGCAACCACAAAAACCAAATATCATACAGAGGCACTCGCGCATCAAGGACACCAAGACAGGACTGATGTTAAAGGGGACACGTGGAAGAATAATAAATTTAAATTCCTGCCAAGTGCTGGTGGGAATGACAATGACAAACCAACTATCCCCAGAGGCCTGCTTCGGCAAATGACTACATCTCGCTAATAGTGCTGTGTGCACCCGTCACTAGTTATTTTCAGATGCGCTTGATGGAATTGGAAATATTGCAGCTCTAAGTTATAATCCTCTGCGTATAATTAGACAGGTATAAATTGCAGCACAAAAATGAAGCAATGAAACTGAGTTATGTTTCTGTGGGTCTCTGTCGTCCCTCTCCGTCCCTGCTGGGACTTCGGGAGGACCCAAGTCTTGGTCTTGGTCTTGGGGCTGGTGACCTGCCGACGGGCAGGGTGATGCTGGAGCCATTAAGATTCTGTGATGGACTCGGATGAGTACTCCCTGTAACCCAGAGGAGATGTTGTCCAGGTGAAAAACCAATACTAGTTGATGAGGCTCGATTTCTGAGTTTTGAGCCGCTTCCTGAGACCCGTCGCACAGGCGTGCCGAGTTCGGAGCGGATTACTCCAGAGGCTGCGGCATTGTTGTTAAAACTAGATGATCGACTGGGATGGCTGGGGAGTGATGATGATCGAGCGATGTTGACGTGAGCTCTGTCATGTGCTTCTTCCTCCACCTGATGGTCTTCCGTGGGACGGGCAAGAACAAAGACACCAAGAAATGTCGATGCACATCCGTAAAGGAAGATGACCATCCGCTCGAACGCTATGTGTTCGAAGTCGCGATAAAGAACGGCGCTTCCAGTAATTGCGGTGAAGTTGAACAGTACGAATTGGGTGGGTATGACTACTTTGCTGTCAAATTTCATCAGTGCCCTATTGAGGTATCTGATCTGGAATAAGCAGTGACAACCAGGACCTGGGTAGACAGGTAAGGAATCCACACAGACTACAACGAGGTGATGCACACCAAGAGGATGGGATAAGTGATCCAATATTTGTAGATTTTGATCCATTGCAAACTTAGCATGGTACTGATGCCCTTCGTTGCAAGTACTGTGAAGCCTCCTGAAGAAGGGGGTTAGTCAGGAGATCGACAGTGTAATCAGTCATACCAAATAATGCGCATGTGCCGAGGTCAATCCAAACGAATTTGTGTCCAATCGGCGATCAGATAGAACGGCGAGAGTGATAACTAGGACGAGGTTGAGAGCAGCGTAAACGATGAATATTCTCTGGCTGATAGCCACGATTAGTCCATCCGGGTCGAGCTTCAGTCGGTGTGAGAAATAGCACACGTATTCTACCGGAGATACGCACCCGAACCCCAGACGATTTTCCTCCATCACGATCGTCACTACACCTACAATGCAGAGCGCCAAGCCTAACAAGTCACG